CTACGTATCATACCACTGCATTAAATCAAAGATATCAGTATGATTCTTCCACGAGAAGATACCTGCTGATAAAAACCACAGGCACCAGAAAATAATTATGTTAAACACTTTTCCATACTTACAGGAGGAAGCAATTGCATATGTAATAAAAATACATACAAAACTCTCAAGAAGAATAGTTAAATTCACTGTGAATGTATTCTAGGAAGAAGAAGAACTTAGTCCAGGTTTGGATAATGCTCTTCAGGGAGCAAGACAGATATCAAAGTTGAGTTTATAACCAATAAGTTACATTATATAAGCCATAAAAACTTGTAAGGAAGTTCCCTGAAATCGAACAAAAACCTTGTCCTTAGGCTAGAGCTCAGGACAGGAAGCTACATTCTTACTTCTGTCTCCAGTAAATGATTTGACACATATTTACTGCTGAAATCTCTGAGCTATAAAATAATTCTCCCTGATTTGTTTTTATGGTGATTTTCCATCCTTCTGAAGAACTTTCATACATTTATTGCTTGAAATGGTTAAGGCTGATGCATTGAAAGTTAATCTTATTGTGTTTTCTGGGCTTTATTACAATACAATGTCTAATTCTGAATTCCATCATAATTCTAGGAACTTAGAGAGAATTGAAAGGAAACCAGAAGTAATTTAGCAAATAGCATAAATCTGTAGAATTTGGAATCAGACAATAGCTTTTCTTTAGAGTCATAGATAGAGGCAGAGATGCAAAAAAGGACTAAAGATGAGGGAGAATCCTTTTGTTGGGATATTTTAATATTGTAGGTAAAATCAAATCTTTTTGGTAGAGTGGAAAAGGGCTCTCAGCAGAGGCAAATGATTTAGAGGGAAGCAATGATTGACATCTGCAGCCTGTCTACTTAGCTTAACTCTAACAAGCCCAGAAATGGGTCTCCTCAGCAGAGAGAGATTTAGCAGAGAAAGACATATATGTTGGTGAAGAATTATATCCATCTAGTGTGAAGGTCAAAGCCTTAAAAAAGCAAGTTCAAGGGTAGCACAGGGAAGCCAAAAAATCTCACAGAAACTGAACTGTACCCTGAAGTGCTCTGCCAATTTGAATAAAACATCAGTAGGAAATATTTCAAAAGAACCATTGCCCAATCGCTTCTAAAATAACTTATTGTGAAATGTGCCCACATTCTGAATTCTTTAGAAATAATTCAGAAAGCAAAAGAAAAAGAATGGTACACAGTCAAGTAATATCACATTAAAAAAATAAATGTTGGGGGGTGTGTGAAGAAAAACAACTGGCCAATGCAATGATTGTGCTTCTTGGTGAACAAAAAACTCAGACAGAAAAATCTAAAACTAAATTTTCATTCCTTTTCCTTTCAGCATTATATTAGATGCAGTTCATAAACAAGGAATTCTAAGTTAATCAAAGAAAATTCAGGCAAACATTAGGTGGGACTTCCCAGCTAATTGTTCTGGAAATCTAGCCCATCTCTTTTGGGACTTTTGAGAGCATCCCTCCAGGACAATGAGCAAAACCACTTGATCTTTTGGTGGCCCCATCACAAGTGCTAAATGGTACTCTATCACCAATGTATATCAAGAACTACCCTGGATCTGAGAAGCAATGAGATCATGATTGGCCTCCCTAGAGGGGAGGGGTAACTTCTAGGATGGGGATTATAGTTTAGTGGTGGAGCACTTGCCTAGCATGCACTTGACCTCCCCCACACATATACAAATCTAAACCCCTCAATATCACCAGGATGAATCAATGTTATACCTAATTTTAATGGCAAAATACTCAAAGACTAAAAGACATTAGCTTGCTTTAGGTTACCTCATCTGCTAAATGCTTTACCTATGAAGTAAAAGAATAAAACTGGAACTCTAATTTTTCCAGCAGCTTGAGGGCATCCACTTGGCCACATGAATAATAAAATCACAAAAATGTACTTTTGGATTATTCAGTATTTGAGGAAATAAAAGAAGTATTTAAGAATGCTTGATTCCAAAATGAACACAAACATTAGTAGTCTAATAGAATGAATAGTATTGGAAATGCAAGAATATCTAGAAGGTTAGAGAAACATAGGCCACCATAAAATGACAAGAGTTTTAGAGCAGCTTCTTTTGTGGTGAGCAGAAAGTAGGTCACTGAGCCTTTGTAACCTCCCAGTAGGGAAGGCACCAGTGTGTGGCTGAGTAATCAGTATATTTGCCCAGACAGTAAAACACCCCTTAACCAGTTGTCATTGTTTAGTGGACACAATGCAGGAGACAATGGTACTTCCCCATAATGTTTTATAACCTGGAACATCACATTTTCTTGTCACTTCCACCCTTTGTGCTAATGGCTCACCAAGCCATCAGTGCTACAGCCATAATCTCCACCTATGTCAACAGTAGCTCTGCTGGCATGCTGGGCTCAGAAGTGCTTGAATAGTCTCTCAATCAGTTCCTTTCACAACTAACTAGCAATGTTCTTTCAACAATGCCGTGACCTTCCTTTAGAGCAAGTCTCAGTTTTACCACAATAAAAGTACACTTGAATCTCTCAGGATCCCTTAGGAAGGGCTGGGGGAAAGGGTTATTTCTGTTGTAGCTAATGAGTTTCTAGCTTGTTAGTATTCAATAAATGTCACCATTCAATATGATCAGTGATAAGAATCTAATTATAAGATAAATTTGATTAATGTTGCCCTTTTGGGGAATCATCATAATTCAATTAATGTACAGCAAGGAATTATCCACTTAGCAGTTTGAAAATGCAGAGTACTTGTAATATTAGAAATGTCACCTAATTATTCTAAGGCTATCATCCTACAAAAATATCAATCTCATTGACTGGGTGAGAATTAGCAAATACTTTAGTGGAAGTAGCAATCACTTAATCAAGCATTATCCTCCGACTTTCATAACTACTATTTTAGATATGCAGTCGTGTACCTCTTAACGTTCTGGAAAAGTGTCTTTAGGTGATTTCATCGTTGTGCAGACATCATAGAGTGTACTTATACAAACTAGGATGGCCGCAACACCACTAGGCGGTATAGTATTATGGGACCACTGTCATATATGCAGTCCATCATACACTGAAATATCATTATGCTCTGCACAGCTCTATGTTTGTGTGTATGTGTGTATATACATTTGTAAATATATATATGAAGGGAAGTGGTCATCAGAAAGAAGATAATTTGCACATGGTTGTGTAATTAGTAAATGGCTAGCCTGGCATTAAGACTCATCCTAAAATTCTATGCTCTCTCCCACTGCACCACATGTCAGAAATCTCCCTTTATCACACCCAGTAAACTAAGCTGAGGAAGCTGCTGTTTATGGTGGGTACAGGGTTTCTTGTAGTAATACATATGTCATTGATGTATGCACTAGTGTTTCCTAGCAAGTTTCTTTAATGGTGAATATGGTATAACTTTTCACTGCCATGAAACACTATGCCAAGCAGAAACAAATTGTGACTATGCAGAAGTAGCTTGACAAAATTATAGATTAACTGTAATTTATAAATAGCTAATTTATATTTATGTATATTATTGCTATGTGTGGTTGAAAACAACTACCTCCTCAAGAGATTTCCCTTCTGTATCACAGTATCTATTAAACATCAGTTGTGTCTATTGTTAGAACCTAGCACAAACCAATGGCTCACAGCTCCATTTACCACCAGTCCTTCTCTAGAATTGGGAAATAAACAAAAAAGAGGCTCTTATGGCTAAGAACTTCCACAACAAGGAATCAAGCCTGGAAAGGATTTTCCATGGTAATATTTAATAAAAGCAGGCACACATATTAATCTAATTTAATCTATCTAATTTTTCTAATTCACTCACTCATTCAGTATTTACGGAGCACCTACTTTGACTCACCAACACAATTTCTCTCATGGTTATAGTGTTTGCCTTAATGCAGATATGTATAAATGAAAATGAATAAATTAAAAGCTGTGTTAACATGTAACACATTTCAGGCTTACTTTATTTAGGCAATTTATGTGATGTATAAGTCAAAGTTGTTACACTAGTGTTTCACTTCTGGATGGAATATATACAATGGTACATGTATTCTTGAAATATTGGATGGAATTTCATTTACATTTATATTTAATTCTCTTGGTAACATGTATTTATTACCTTCTTCAAATGGTGATTTTAGGCTATCTCTATTTCTACCTCTACTTCTCCCTCTTAATTCTTTTTTGGATTTTTTGGTGGTACTAGCATTTTTAAACTCAGAACTTTGCATTTTACTAGGCAGGTACTCTACCACTTAAACCATGCCTCCAGCCCCCCTCATTAATTTCTTAAGAATTATTTGCAATTTCCTTAAGAATAAACTTACCTTCCATGGTTATTATCAAAAGACAAGGGATAAGTGATGACGAGGATGTAGAGAAAAGGGAACCCTTTTACACTGTTGGTGGACATTTAAATTGGTAGAGCCATTATGGAAAACAGTATGAAGGTTTCTCAAGAAATTAAAAACAGGACTAGCACATGATCAAGTAAGCTTAAGTAATTCCATTTCTGAATATATATATGTATATATTACACACACACAAGAAATAAAGTCAGTAAGCTGTGAAGGGATAGATATACTTCCATATTAACTGTAGCACTAGTCACAACGACCTAGACATGGAATCAGCCTAAGTGATTCATCCATTGATGAATGAATGGGTAAAGAAAACACTGTGTGTGTGTATATATGTGTGCACACCTCAGATACACACTCAAGAAGATTATTCAGCCTTAAAAAGAAGGAAATCCTATTGTTTGTGATAGCGTGGATGAACCTAGAGGACAAACAAGCTGTCGATAGAAGGATGAATACTACCTGATCTCATTCTATGTTGAATCTAAAAAGTCTGAATTCATAAAAGCAGAGTAGAATAGTGGTCTGGTGGTTGCTAGATGCTGGGAAAAGAGGACTAGAGAAGATGTTTGTCAAAGGACATAAAATTCCAGTTTATTCTGCAGGAGTAATAAAAAGAATAACCTCACCTTCCAAATGGAAAGCCACGGTCGTCAAGAGGACCAGAGACTGATTGTCGGCTTCTATGGTGTAGATGCAATTCATATTGTTGTCATACTGCCTTGGGAAGTTTGGAGAGATGATGTCCCCTGTAGGGTCAGTGTAGTTACGTCCACAGCCTATGTGGGGACAAAAGGCATCATCAGAACCTTTGTTCTCACCTGCAGTGTCCATTTCATCAGTGCAGGAAAGAGGCCGTTTCTTAAGTTTTCTAGAGATACTTTCAGGAGACACTCCAAATGGAAGAAGCAGTAACTAAAAGAATGAAGCTTTGATTTAAAAATAAATAGCCATGCAAAACATGAATGCTACGTATCTATTAGAAAATTCTGGGAATTTTAGGCACTCTGTAGTAGAGATTTTGCCACGTGCTTAAGATACTAAGATATTCTTAAAAGGATAATTTAGCAAAGATTGAATATGGTTCATGTAGATAAAGTAATAAAACTGATGAAAAGTGGTATGCACTTGAGTAGTATAGTATGTCTTACTAGAAAACTATTGGTTTTTTGAGGGAGTAGTACTGGAGTTTGAACCTTGCACTTGTTAAGCAGGTGCTCTACAACTCAGGTCATACCCCAACCCCATTTTGCTTTAGTTATTTTTTGGATAGGGGCTCACATTTTTACTGGGGGCCAGCCTCAGACTGTGATCCTCCTACCTATGCCTCCTGCATAGCTGGGATTACAAGTGGGACCCACCATGCCTAGCTTATGTTTTCAGCTGGGGGTCTTGCTAACTTTTTGCCTGGGCTGGTTTTGAATTGTGAACCTCAGTATCTCTGCCTCCCAAATGGCTGGGATAACAGGCATGAGTCACTGTGTCCAATATGTTATCCTTATTACTGTTATGTGATTTGGCCATAAGGATAATGCTAGCTGCTTTTAAAAGTTATTTGAATTTACTAATCATAATTAGTATCAAATTCTCACATGAATCCTTGGTGTCAGAAATATGATAGAAGTACATTATACATAGATATGAAAGTAGCATAATAAAACCCACTAAAACCTGTTTTTAAAAAAGAGAGGGGTTAAGAAAGTAATACAGACAAGGTGAATTTGATCAAAGAACATCAGATTCATGTATGTAAATATCACAATGAAACCCCTTTGAACAATTAACTTATGCTAATAAAAAGAAAAACAAATACCATTTTATCATTAAAATGACTTTTGTCTTCACATAAACCATTAACTAGTTAATTAATATCACTGATCTATCAGATCTGAAAATACCTGCAACCTTTAAAACTGACATTAAAACTCACAGACACAAACTAGCTGGAGACTGGAGATTAGGTTTGGGGATGATTTTCATTTCTTTCTTTGTATCACTTGTAATTCACATCTGAAATAACCCGTTTACTGAGTTAGTCCCTCTCCTTCATTTTCAGAAACTTTCCTGAACAGTGGTTTGCATTTAACAGTGGTTCAATCAAGTAGTGGCTACCTGATTTAATTCAGCCAACAAGTGCACCCCGTGGCTTCTCAGACTTGACAACTGCTACAGTTTTCACTGACCTAATTTGTGTTCAGCAGCCAGAGAAGCAGACCATGTACTTAACTAAGGAGGCAGAATATCTAACAGTGACTGCCCAAGTTGACTGGCATGGGAGTGCTCTGGATGAGATCGAACTTGCAAGCCCCAGCCATGGACATCACCTGAACTCAGACGGATCTGGGTGGCACCCAATGATCTGCACGTGCTTTTCATGCAGGTGGTTAAGGGGTGCTATGCCAGGCATGAGGTTGTCTAATTAACGGGCATCTGCGCAGTGCCCAGTCAATCTGGATTTGAGGATTATTTTTTTAGAAGGCTAATGGCATGTCTTTTATGTCATTTCTCAATTGACCTTTTGTTGAGCTTAGTTCCAGGCTCATTGATTTTTGAAGGAAGGGTGTCTGCTCAGTCTGCCCATGGCAACCACACTCTTTCAATACCCTTCTAGCTGGGCTTTCAGTGCTACTTACGGCTTACAAAGGATGCAAAGAAGCCCTGGGCTGGCATCTCCTGAGACTGGAAGACAGCTGTGAATTCGTTTCTTGGGGTAACGATGGGACTAGGAGCCTCATTCCCACACACCTGGGCTAACGGGGCGTTGTTGGTTTCCTCAGTTCCTGTCCATACCTGGCAGGGTCACAAAACACGACTTAATGCTTCTAGTTTTCTCCTGTCAGCATTTTAACACACTTCAGCTTGAAAATAATGGTACTCAGGTGTACATGGAAAAACAATAATAAATAAAATGCATGCACATCTGCAATGTTTTCTTAAAGCTGGTTTTAAGTAACCTTCCTCATCCTGACCCTCTATGGAAATTGGGTTTATTTTTATGAAGCTGGTCAATAATTTTTTGAAAAGTCAATCACTCCCTAGCTTGCTTTAACTTCCAGTTGACCTGATGGTGCTGAGCTTGCCCTCTGCAAGAGACACTCACAATGTCTGCAAGCATTTCTGATGGTTGCTTTGGTGGAGTGGGGTGGAGGGTGGGGAAGGGAACCAGCAGTTGGTGGCCAGGGATGTTGATAAACACCTGTAATGCACAGGACAACTCCCACTGTCACATGAGAATTACCTGGTCCAAGAAGATAATTAGATGTGGAGTAGCCTTCCTTGACTACTCAACATTTTTCCATATCAAATTTTACATAATTATTCAGTCCAAATATGTCTCTTTCAAATAGAGCAATAAAACGTCAAGCCATTTAAAAAAAAATCAGTTGGTAAATCAGTCCTTAGGAAGGGATGCAAAACAGCACTGACTCACAGCATTGACTTGTTACTTCTCAGTTCTTTAAGGCCAGTTCATCCAATTGGTTTTCAAAGACTAAGTGGCCAGCTGTTATTCATCTTACTGCAGACAAATTATGTTTGCCAGTTATTAGAGATGGTAGGTGTCTGGCACCAGAACTGCTGAGAATAAAAGTGCACCTGCTCGGCCAAATGCATAAGATCTATACAAATGTCAGGAAAGAGACATTGAACCTAACACCCCCCAATTTTACCTCGTGAACCCCTTAAACATTTTTCCTTCTTAACCACCTTCCCAGGGAAATACTATACTGAAGTTTTATCCACATTTTATAAAATTATCAACATAACTTATTAAGAGTTAGATATCTGCACTATTCTTACAAACATTCTTTTTTTTTTTTTTTACAGCATTGGGGATTGAACTCAGAGCTGAACTTGAATCACAGTCCTCATATTTCTGCCTCTTGAGTAGCTAGTATTATAAGCATGTGCCACCATGCCCAGCTTAAACATTACATTACTAAACTAAAATTTTTAGTTAAAAAGATCAAGTTTTGGCAGTACTGGAATTTGAACTTAGGGCCTCATGCTTGAAAGGCAGGTGCTCTACCACTTGAGCCATGTCCCTAGTCCATAGGACCTCAAGTTTTTCAATGAACAACTTTAACAATGTTCAAGTACTTAATACTTTTCTTAGTCATTAATTATCAGCCTGACATCTGTACTTTTTTTGGTCCAAGAAAATCAGTTTAATAATGATGATGATGGTAAAAACTTATTCACTGCTGCTTTGTTTATCAAGAATTCACAGCTTCGATGACCCAGGTAGAAAGGAGAAAAATGGAGAGGATGAACCAATTTGGGTTATAATATATATGTATGTATATACATATACATATATATAATATACATATTTATTATATACATATATATGTACATATATAGTATACGTATTTATTATATACATATATATGTATATATATGGAAATGTAACAATGAACCTCTTTGTATAGCTTATATATACAAACAAAAATGCCTTTTTTTTAAACAGAGAACAGGAACATAAAACAGGTCCTGTCTAGAGTTGATGCCAGTGGGAGGGGGAAGATGTAAGGAAAGGTGTAGGAGGGTGAACATGATGGAAATGTTATGTACTCATGTATGAAAATGGAAAATGAAACCTGTTGAAACTCTTCTAGGAATGTGGGGAGGGAGGACAAAGGAGAATGATGGAGGGGGTGAATTCAACTATGCTATATTATCAGAACTTTGGTAAATTTCACAATGTACCCCCAGTACCACACTAATAAAAGAAAAGGAAGGAAGGAAAGAAGGAATTTATCACCCAGGACTCATGAAACTACATTAACCCACAAAATATTACATTGTCATAGAATCAAAAAGCTCTGTTTTTCTTCTTAAGGTTCTGTACAATTCAGTCTTGCTGCAGGTTATATTTTATCATTCAAATAAATTGATTTTTTAAACAATGCTTATTTACATAATTGCAGATTCCCATGCAGTTTTAAGACATAATTCAGAGAAATGCCTTCACACATCGCTTAGCTCCTTAAATTTTGGCCGAAGCAATCCACCAATCTTGCTCAATTTTCTAGTTTTACTTATATGCTTGTGTCCATGTGGATTAAGTCATATACAGACACATTCAAGATGCTGTACAGTTGTCAACACCTGAAAGATACCTAGAGTTGCCTTCTATAACCACACATAATTTATTCCTACTCCCGTTCTTCTAACCACTGCTGTCCATTTCAAAATATTAAATAAATGTCTTCCTTGAAGACAATCATGTCATCTTCAATAGTGACGGTTTTACTTCTTCTTTACCAGTCAGAATTTTTTTAAATTTATTTTCATTTATTGCAGTATTTAGAACTTTCAGTATCATGTTGAATAAAAGTGGTGGAAATAACCACCCTACCTTTACCTTCTTACAGGGAAAATATTCATTCTTTCACCATTGAATATGATTTTAACTATGCTTTTTGTAGATGCTTTTTGCAAGCTGAGAAAATTCCCATATTTTTGTAACTTCCTGGGAGTTTTCATTATGAACCTGCTTCATTTTGTCGATTTTTTCAGGTGTGAACACTATATGATCATATGATTTCTCATCTTTAGCTTGTCCACGTGGTCAAATACATTAATTTTCCAACGGTGAGCCAATGTACACTTTTGGGGTAAATCCCATTTGCTCATGGTGTCTAATCCTTTGCATATATTGTTGGATTTAGTTAAGGTCACAAGAAATACCAGTCTGTCATTTTTTTCTTTCTTTTTTAAAAACTATCTTTATTTGGTGTTGATCTCAGGGTAATTTTCACTTCATAAAATAATTGGGAAGTGCCTCTATCTTTTATTTTCTAGAAGAAATTATAAAATTTGTATGAATTCCTTAATTGATGGATAGCATTTTTGAATTTTGGCAATTTACACATATGTGGGCTAAATATTGGTCTTTGAAAGTTATGTCCATAGTGATTAAATTAATGATCCTGAGATGGGGAGATTGGCCTGAATTATTCAATGGACCTTAAATTTGACAAGATGGGTCTTTCTAAGAGACACAGATGAGAGACACCCACAGGAGAGAAGGAAGCAATACACCAAGGAATGATTGGAGTCAACATAGGTGGAAGATGCAAGAAATAAATTGTCCCACATAATCTATGGAAAAAGCCAATGCCTTTATTTTGGACTTCTGGTTTTCAGAATCTTTAGAGAATAAATTCCTATTTGTTTAAAGCCACCAAGTATAAGAGAGTTTGCTGTGGCAGTGGTTTAAAGAGAGTTGGTCCATTTGTCCAAAGTTTAATTTATGACTATGAAGTTGTCTATAGTATTCCCTAAGTATTTTTAATGGGTGCAAGATTTTAGTGATATTCCTTATTTCATTCCTATGTGACATTAGTGGTTTTTATTTTCTCACTTTTTATTTTTGTCTGTCTTGCTAAAGTTTACCATTTTTCTTGATTTTTATGAAGAAACAGTTTTTTGTTTCCTTTTTTTTTTTCTAATGCATTTCTACTTTCAAGTTCATTACTTTTTGTTTCCTTCCTTCTACTGGCTTTGGATCTATTCCATGCGTTTTCTAGTTACTTGAAGTAAGAACTGACGAGATTCATTTCAGATTTTTTTTCAACCTGTCTTTAATACTACAACTTTACCTGTAGCCCAGCTTTATCCATACCCTACATATTTTGATAGATTGTGTTTTCATTTTTATTCTGTTCTATATAATTTCTATATAATTTTTAATTTCACTCAAGACTTCCTCCTTGACCCATGGATTATTTAAAAGTATTTAATATCTATCTGTTTACAGAATTGAGTTCATCTCCTTGCCAAAAACTTACATGTGAAGTTTTCAGGCCTGACCACAGGCAGTTACACAAGTTTTACTTGGTGGCCTCATTTGTGCTCTCCTCACACTAGACTGGGTGCACACCAGTACATTTCAGTCACTGAAGGGAGTTGTAGACAAGGACTTGGGCCCCATTGCCACCTGCATTTTTACCCATCTCTATGTACTTAGCCTGGACACCATCATTTGGAGGCCTCTTTTCAGGGGCCTCTGGCCAAAGCCTTTACCACACACCTTTACAAAGACTTCTTTATGAGGGGAAGGGGGGACTTGAAAACATTTCCCTCTATTCTCACTAAGTATTCACTACTTTTCCACATTTGTTCAGGGCTCACTCAGTAATGAAACAATTCCTACATCTATGCTGACCATTCGCCCCCTCTTGGGTTCTGTCCCAGGAAGAATAATAAGAAGCAGGGGAAGAATCAGCACTTTTGCCTGCTTAACTTCAGTTAGTGATTAAAGCCTTGACGCCTGCCTTCAGTTTGGCTGGTTGTTTTAATTGTCTTCTGTGACAATGGCAGGTCATTCTCTCCAGCTCTGCTCAGTTCTTGACAAGATAATGTGATCAAAAAAAAAATTCCAATTTTTTTAATTTGTTGAGGTTTTGCGATGACTCAGTATTTGTTATAGTTTAAAGATGAACTGTCTGCCACAGACTCATGTGTCAAAGCCTTGGTTCCCAGCTCTGGTATCTCTATTTTGAGAATTGCTAGAAACTAGAAGGTGGGGCCTAGCTGGGGAAACAGGTCACTGAGAGGAGGGGTGTCTTTGAGGGGTAGATCTTGCCCGGCTCCCTGCCGAGTCTGTCTCTCTGCTTTGCGTTTACTGGGAGGTGAGCTGTTTTGTTCTATCATATGCTTCTACCTTACCATGGGCCCAAAAACAATGGGGTCAATTGACCAGGGACTCAGACCTCTGAAACTGTGATCCAAAATAAATGTTTCCTCCTTTAAACTGCTTTTCTCAGGTATTTGTCATGGTGGTGAAAGTCTAAAACCAGCATGTTCCAAGAGTACCTAAAAATGTATATTCTGCTGTTCTTGTATAGTTTAATTATGTCAATTACATCCTATTGGTTGATGGTTTTAGAGTTCTTCTATATTCTTGCTAGTTATCCATCAATTGCTAGTCATTCTATCAATTGCTGAGAGGAGTGCTGAAGTCCTAAACTAAACTGAAGATGTGCCAGTTTATCTTCATGATTCTATCAGTTCATGCTCCCTCATACTTAGAATCATTATGTCTTCCTGGCAGATTGATTCTTTTATAGTTATGTAAGTTACCACTTTTTCCATAGTAATTTTCTATACTCTTAAGTCTATAAGATATTAATATAACCACTTCTGCTTTTGATACTGTTTGTATAATTTACCATTTTCTGTACTTTGACTTTTAACCTATATATTGTCTTGACTTTAAAGTGAATTTATTATCACTTCAGTCATGTTTTGGTTCCAATAATTCCTGTATTTTGATTGGTGTCACTAAATTATTTACAAGTAAAATATTAATGTATATTTGTGCTTTGTCTGCCATTTTATAGTTTACTTTCTACTTAATTCATCTGCTTCTTGTTCCTCTGTTTCTCTTTTTTTGATTTCCTGGTGATTCCAGTTTGGTTGAAGTATTTCTTTCATGTATATTTCTTTATATAATTTTGGTAGCTGTTATTCTCTGTGTTAAAATATACATATGTGATTATAGAAGTCTACCTGCATCCACACTGGACCACTTTGAGGGGAGTGTGGACCTCCTCTCACCTTATAATGCTTCATTGTCTTAAGTGTCAGAGAACATTATAAAAGCTTTCCTTAATTATCAAATACCATTCATAAAACATATGAAGAAAAGTATATTCTAATTGTATGCTTTTCACATGATCCTTTTTCCTTCTGGATACTTTAAGATTCCTTTTATTATTTCATCTTGTCTGAAAGTTCCATTAGCTAATCTTTAATGGGAGGTCCCCTGTAATAACTTCTTTTAGTTTTCCTTTATATGACAACTTTCTATTTCTTCCTCATTCCTGAAGGACATTTTTCTAGATATCAAAATTATGGTTGACAACTCTTTTATTTAAGCACTTCACTATATCTTTGCCTATGTTTCACCTGCATTCTCTTCTCTCCTTATAGGATTGTCATGATATAAATGCTGAATTTTTGTTATTTTTCATGGATCTCTGAGGCTCTGCTCATTTTTCAAAGTCTTTTCTCCTAACTGTTCAGAGAGGGTGAATTCTATTGTTCTGTCCTCAAATTCATTGATTCTATCCTCTGTCCTCCTTACTGCACTATTAAGCTTAAAAGGCAAGTTCTTTCTTTTGTATTTTTCAGCTATATAATTGCATTTAGTCTTTCAATATAACTACCATTTCTTTGCTGAGATTTTCTGTTTTCTTTGTTTCAAGAGAAGTTGTCACAGTGATTGTTGGAACATTTTTAATGAAAGCATTTTATGTAATTTTATGTAATTCCAGCATCTGATTTACCTCTGCATTGACAGTACTTGATTGTCTTTTCTCACTCAAGTTGTGATGCTTTTTTTTTCTTGTTATGATGTATTCTTTCTTGTTGTGTCCTGGACATTCTATTTACTATGTTAGGAGACTTTGTGTCCTATTTAAATCTTTCATTTTAGCAGGCTGTCACCTTGTTTATGTTTAGTATGTGACCTTGCATTCTTCTGTGGGCTATGATTCCAATGGCTCTTCAGTTTTCAGAATCTGTTATATTTTTGGTTTTCTTCATTTATATGTTCCTGCTGATGCCCCTCTAGTTCCTGCTGGGCTACCTGAGGGGACAGAGGGTGCTTTACCTGGTTGGACCTCCATGTGTTTCTCAATTGAAGGGAAAGGTATAGTAAGATTCTCTTAACAATGCTCCCTTGCTGACCCAATATCTTTGGGAGGGGCAGAATCATCTCCTGTTTATGGGGACAGAGAGCTTTCTTAGACATTTGCCCATACTGATCATCTGCCCTAGTGTTTCCAGATTGGGAGATTGGTCTTGGATTCACAGGCACAAAAAGATTTCTAACACTAGGCTACTTACTATCACTGGGTCTCTTTACTAGTTCTTCCCACCCATACTGCATCTTTTGGCAGAAGCAGGAGTGAAAGAAAAAAAAGTGTACTTCTCCTGGCACTTATTCTTGGCAAGTCTTCCAACCGATCTCAATAGTATTGGATTTATGTGATATTTTCAGTGGGACTTCCAGTCTATTCGAGGAGAGATTAGCCCAAGTCTTTTTTAACTTCCATTTTTATAATTAGAGAACTTAAAAGACTTTACTTAAGTCTGTGTACTTGATATTGACTCATTTCATGACAAGAGAGTTCACTTATTTCATGGAAAAAGCAATTAGGAAAAGTGTATATTAAATTTATTTTACCATGTACATATTTTATGTAAGTATTGGATTATCACTTAAAGTGGAAGCATGGGTCAATGAGATATAAAACACAATTCGAGAGATGATATGAAATAATAGCAACATCTTCAACAAAAGTCAATTCCACTCATTAATTAATTTAATATTACAAGTACTGAGTACTATTTATGCTATTATAGCATATTACTTCTAATGCTTAAAGCAGCATTACTAAAGTTAGACTCAGTCTCTTTATTCTATAGTTGAATAATTTGAAGCTAACAAAAGAACATGCAAGTGGTAAGTATAGGAAAGATGACCTTTAAGATCAACAGTGTTTACACTAAAAGGTCTCTTAGTGATGTCACATACAATATTCAAAATAGCACAAGATGAAGTGAATAGATATTACAATAATCATGGTTGTGTCAATGGAAAGTGAAAAGGCTGTACCACCTGAGCAGTTCTTATACTTTAGGAGAAAAAGAGTCTGCTCTATTGCCATCTTTTGACATGGGTCTCTTGTGTTCTTTTAGCTTGTAGGTTCTTAAGGCTCAAGGTGAAGGTTAGAATTAGCTATTTTTGTAGCATATGTTAAACTTTACCTGTGATGGTGCCTTACATTGTAAAGGGTATTTTTTTTCTATAGGATCTACTATGAAAGAAAGAAAGAGAGAAAGGAAAGAGAAGGAGAGGAGTGGGAAAGAGGATGGAAAGAAGGAAAACTGGCCTTCTTTCCTTAGTTTCCATAGAAAGGAAGAACCATTATTGTTCATGAGAATTAAATAAGGTCAGAAAAAATCTCCTTAGTTTAGTTACTTTGCCTAGGTATTAGCAAATGAAAAAACGATAGGGCAGCACGTGTGTTGTGCTTCAAAATCGTATGTTCTCCTTCATAAAGCGGACATTAGATCAAGGGCAAACACAACAAGGGGATTGAACTTTGATCACAGATTAAAGAGAGTGCACACAAGGGAGGGGAGAGGATAGGTAAGACACCTAAAAAATTAGCTAGCATTTGTTGCCATCAATGCAGAGAAACTAAAGCAGATACCTTAAAAGCAACTGAGGCCAATAGGAGAAGGGGACCAGGAACTAGAGAAAAGGTTAGATCAAAAAGAATTAACCTAGAAGGTAACACACATGCACAGGAAATCAATGCAAGTCAATGCCCTGTATAGCTATCCTTATCTCAACTAGCAAAAACCCTTGTTCCTTCCTATTATTGCTTATACTCTCTCTTCAACAAAATTAGAGATAAGGGCAAAATAGTTTCTGCCGGGTATCCAGGAGGTGGGGGTGGAGAGGGAGGGGGTGGAGTGGGTGGTAAGGGAGGGGGTGGGGGCAGGGGGAAGAAATGACCCAAGCATTGTATGCACATATGAATAAATAAATAAATAAATAAATAAATTTTTAACTCCTAACAGTTGAGGCTTCTCACTTTTACATCCAAGATATCCAAGCAGCAAAACTGTCCTTTTCTCACTTAGAAAAATGACTTTGAGTCATTTGCAGCCTAAGTGTTTATGTTCACAAAACCAGCTTGACTCCAATTAAATAAACAAGAGCACTAACCTTCAGGAAGCTGTTTTGACACTCTCCATCACCACTGGGGATTCGGAAGTTGCTGTTAAAGCTGATCTCCCAGTGTTTACCTTCATGAGTAATGGCTGTCCAGGAACATCTGCTATTTTGGGGAAAATTCTGAGGCCAGTGGGGTGATCTGAGTGTACCATTATCTGAATGAAATATTCCACCACAACCTAAAAAATATTTATGGAAAAAGTCATCGATCTGTAAGGAAAATAACAATTTTGAAACCAAAGACTGCTAGAGAAGAAACATTTCTAAGTATAAGATCTTAGTTCATCTTTCTTTATGTACTATTCATCTTTGGGACAGGTACATAGCAAGAACTCAACAGATGTAAGGTGCACTGAATCAAGAGGAAACTCCAGCTGTTACTATTTTGTTACATCTACACTGAACTCACCTGAGCTCACTAATCTTTAGGTAAAGAGGCTAGACCTCTCTCATGTCTCAAACAACAGCAATACTTTTTACTCCCTTAGAGGCTACATAGTATTTATAGCCTGGCAAAGCAGTTCTGTATTTTATTACCACTAACATAATAATACAACTATGCTCATTTTTAATTTTACTCTAATATACTGGAGGAGGGAGTGATTTGAAGCAGTATGGTTCATTCATACTGAAGCTGACGGGTAAAAAAAACCAAAGAGATTTAAAGAAAACAAAACCTAGATTTATTTTTATGTTCTCAAAAGCACAGACTTAAGAGATAGCAAAGAAAAATATGAACTTAAAACAAAATGAAATTAAAGTACATTCTCTGAATCTTTTGCTTTTAAGCCTTGGGAACCAGGGCACATTTAAAACTCCTTTATGACTTCAATAGCAGCCAGTGGTTTAATGAAACTTTGACTTATTCTATGAACTTCTTCAAAATAACTGACTCTATTAGAAAGAATTGACCTGTGTGATACTTAGGACTTACTGAAGTCCTGAATAAAGTATTCAATACCAATCCTTATATTTTCTGAGAATTTTCATAAGATTTACATTCTATAGACACAAAAACTACTCGTTAAAATCAATTCTGTTTTATTTTGATTCAGTACCCACAAACTGCAGCATTTGTTCTAAATCAGAACTCTTATCTTGTCACCTCATCTTCATCTGTAAAACTTCAATAGTTTTCTGTTGCTAAAGAGACGAGGCGCTTCATGACATGACTACTACTTTTCCTGCCCTTAGCTCTCTCAGCATTCTGCCTCTTAAGCTCTGGGTATTTTAAATGACTTGTGATACTGACATATATTTCTATTACTTAAGATTCCTTGGTTATGCCATGTCATTCTGCCAAAGAAGCATGTGCATCATGGAGTGTTAAGATCAAAGTTTCTGGGCTCAACTTCCTTAATTAGAATCCTGATTACCAAATATCAGCTATACGTCCTGGATACATTATCAGCCCATTTATCCCCAGTCTCTTCCCCATGCAAAGAAGAAAAATATGTATTGACGTTGTGTTATCTTTCCACAATTGCTATGTGGGATGACATGTGTGAAAATTTAGAATTGAATTCAACATAGAGTAAGTACAAAATGTGTGTGCACTGTCAGCAAGTTCTTAATCTACAGATTCAACAATTGCAGACCAGAAATATTAGAAAAAAGTGCATCTGAATAGAACATGTATAGACCTTTTTCCTGTAATTATTCCCTAAACAATATAGTACCACAACTCTTTACATGGTGTTCACATTGTATTAGCTATTACAAATAAGCTAGAGATGACTTAATACATCTAGGAGAATGTGCACAGACTATACACAAATATTACACCTTTTACATAGAGGACTTGACTCTCTGCAGATTTTGGTATCTGCTGGGATCCTGGAACCAATAGCTCTTGAATACCATAAGAATGATTATATTTTAAGTTAGTTTAAAAAAAACAAAACTGAAAAAGATGGTAAGTGTAGCGGTTTCTTTTACCTAACGTTTGTGTGCTCCATGTAGCATAAAATCCACCATGTTGCACTGTTTGATCTGAGTTAAAAATCACCACCAGCTGGTTGGAACCAGAGTGTATTGTTCCCGGACTCAACTGTCCACAGTACTGTCCTATGATGGGTGATGTAGGGGAGCCACCATTCCTGACAGTGACGGAGTCCCAATCACAAGATACATGGGTTTCAATATCAAAGTCACTAAATGTAAGCTGTACAAAAGAAAAAAAGAAATGATGAGGCCCCCAGAATTGTAGATGAACTTATCAACCTTGAGGTAGGTAAGTCCTTACCTATCTTTTAAGTTTTGTTTTAATTTACATAATGTTGTATTCCTGTCTTTTCTTCAGTTCCCCCTTCTCCTCTCCATTCCTTCTTCTATTGAGAATTTGCAGAGGGGACATTTCTCCAGGAAGCAGGGTCATTTGGGGAGCCCTAGAAATCTGCTGGCCTAGAATGGCATCTCATATCAAGATCATGAATGTACCTCTCTCCTGGACGTGCAATTATTTTCTACATATGGTTTCTCCTAAACTTGACTAGCATTCCTCATTAAGTGTACACTTGTAGGTATCAATGTGTGTATTCTAATGAAAGAACTGTAGAGAGAAAAAAGTGATCAGATCACAGAATAAAAATCTACTCTGCTCACTTGCATACTAAAATATCTCTATCTCCACAATATGGTGTTGGAGGTGTTTTACCCAGGTATGAGAACTCACAGTGATGGTGTGTCCCTGTGGGGCTTCCAACAACCAAGAACAGTGTGCGGAGCTGTTGTAAGCAGCTGGGTAGTTGGGGCTTGTGATCACTCCACTCTCACCTGTCTGTATTCCGCCACAACCTGAAATTAGATTTGTAACCCTCTAAATAAGACAGAAGGGGAAAAAAACCCCACAAAGCCAAACAGTACCTACAGTCATCATTCATTATGACAAAAATACAATGAATTAAAATGTACAAAAGCAAAGTAAAGTTAGATGGAAGAAGAGAACAAACTGAATACCAGAAAGGGCTCACTGAACAGAATCATAAGGTGAACACACCCTCAAGTTTAACACAAAGGAGAAGAAAGATAACCCATATCACAGATGGAGAATAGATATAAATGATGGTAAATGCACTAAAGATAAAGTAAATAATATTGCCTTTCTTGAAAAAAAATAGCCCATGAAAATATAGGTAAGCTTGAAGAAGCAACCAGTTCCATAATTAAATATCTGTCCTTTGATAATAAGCTCATACTCCAGTTTCACATTTCTAAAGCATAGGCATGATGGGATGTTCAATGAAAATACAACTGCTTTGCAACCTGACTCTTTTCCTTCAGTGTGAAAAAGAAAAATCAGGCAGCAAGAAGGCTACATGCATATATTACAATCAACCTCACTCTTTCCTTTAACCAGCAATTTGGTTAGAGTATGAAGAAATGCTAGTTACAACTATAAACAAAGTACATTTTTGATTTATAGCCACACTCAATGGAAAGAAAAGGGGCTCTCTGAAATCTGTGGCAATCTCAAACAGAAAGTGTGGCATTCAGAGAGAATAAAGAACCAACATCCTGCCCTGGAGTGTGGTTTATAGTTTTGGTGACCAGGCAGGAAGAGAAGCAATGACTTCAGACTTTCACAAAAGGAAGAACTGGAATTGAGGCTTTTATACACAAGTGAGAATCTGAAAATTCTGCCATGTTAGTGGGAAGGGGAAGGAGAAAACTCCAATCCTCAAGGGAAGCAGCAAGGAGTAATGCTGCCCAACTTGGGCTGATTTTCAACATCACAGCTGCAAATTCAATAAAAAATATTAGCAAATAATATCATTAACATGAGCAAAACATTTGATTGTCACAGATTGAGACCTTAATCGTAAGTCTTACCTGTAAAGGAGTACTGTGCGTGGAAGCCAGAATGCTCTACAAGCTCATTGGTGACAAAGTGTACCCACACCTGAGGATAAGGTATAACCAGTGGCACATGAGGACTTAAAGGACCACAAAATCTGCCTATCAGGAGGCCATCAGCATCACCTGAAGAAAATAACACATCAAGAGCCATTATTTATATTCCTTTAGAGAAATACATTTAATGAATTCAGCAAGAAAAAATAATTTTAAAACATGACACACATACAAATTCTGAGGTAGTTAACAGATTTGACACAAAGTTTCTATTTCTGTCAATTGCAAAAGAAAGAGTTCCTCCACCAAGACAAAACAAAACAAAAAAACATGCCTTTCTGGTATGGACATATCTTTACTATAGGTACCAATTTGTTCCAATTTGGGCTTTCATAATTATTTTAGCATACCTAAACAGAAATACAACTAATTTTATTTATTTGTTTATTTATTTATTATTTGAGGCAGGGTCTCACTATGAAGTCCAGGCTGTCCTCAAACTCCTTAAACCAAACTCTAAGTTCAAACTCACAATCCTCATGCCTCAGCTTCCAGGGTGCTGGGATTACAGGCATGAACCACCATGCCCAACTACAACTAATTTCAAAACCCTTTGGAAAGCCTTTTTTAAGGAATAAGAAATGTAATAGCAACAGTGATAAAATACATCCTCCGTGAAAATTGCCTAAAATTTCTTCACTGCATTCAATCAACTGAAATGAACAGAATTTTCGGCACTGAGGCAGGGAACTGTCAGATTTGAGTTGAATGTGTTTTATGAAGATTACTTTTTATAGAAATATGATTAACATTTATAGAGTACCTAGAGAGCTCACATTTATCTCTTCCCTATTTATTCTGTCAGATGAACATCACTGACCTTATAATACAGTATTCTGTCTCCAAATTGAGGGAATAAAGAGAAAATTGCATTTAACTGGTTGAAATTTAAAAAACAGCTGTTCTGCTTGATTCTATAAGCCACTGGTTTTGTACCAGGTAGAAGTGGTGAAGGCTTATCAGAATTTCCTGGAGAACATTCTCAAAGTACAATTTCCTTTCCCTCATAGTCTTTGATAGACTCACCAACCTATGAGACTTGGGATGATTCTCTTGCTGAAGTCCTTGGTCTGTGATCATAGACTATCAAGTTCTCCTTCTTGAAATTTCTGTCTTCCATTTTCTCAAAGGTAATTACCAGTGATTTCTCCAGTTACCCAAGAACATCACCAACTAACTCAATTTTGTTGCTTTCATCTTTCTTTTCTTTAAATTTTAGGATAAACTGGAACTCAGCAAGCCTGTGACAGTATGGATGGTCTACAATATTATTTTCCTCTTCTCTGTACTTAGATGTTTACTAAGAAACAAGTATCTGTGTAAGAATGGGAGCATCTATGCCCTGCCTCTAGGGTAGAACTGAAATTGATTCACTTTCCATGAATTCAGATTTTTAAATTCCTAAGAGAACTATGGCTTTCTAAGGACACCTTGGATCTTTCTTGTGATGAAAAGAAGACAAGTTGATGTCTGGGGGGTGATCGCTCAAATAATTCTGCTAAGCTGCTCCATCTGGTGCATTATAAAACTCTTTCAACTTCCAAGGACTCAGTATAATTTGACAGCCTTCTTATGAATCCTGTAAGTTCAGGAAGCTGCCAATAGGTTCTGACCTTGGTAAGTTCCATTCTCCTGAGAAAGGAGTCTTGAGTATATGATAGTTGAAGTGAAGAGAGCAGAGACAAGTGGACTGTCTCCTGGGTGAGGCCCACATGCTAGAAAACCAATCAACTGTGACACAGGATCTAACTGTACACACAGAGCTGCCTCATTCACAGTTGATAGAGGATGCTTTCCAGTTGGGTACACAGAAGAATTACAGCTTTGTTTCAACAAAGTTCTTGTGGATCTTATGTAGCTACATAGTAGTCACTTGACTGCCTTTATTGGTGGTCTTCAGGCACAAGAAGAGAATTATGGATAAATGAGAGAACATATTCCTTGATTGAACTTACCCACTCGAAACTCAAGGGCATCAAATTGACAGTCTTGATGGCTTTCGAGGGAAAAATCCACAAAATGAATGTAAATAGATGAATTTCCCTGGTTTGGATTGCTGAGAGTCCATTCACAGTTGAGGTTTTTTGAGTAACTCCTAACTCTACCATAACCAGGTGAAGTAAAGTTTCCTCTAGGAACATTTGAGAGAGCCCCTCCGCACACTAAGAAAACAAGACAGCAAAGTAGTAGTAAGAGCCATGTCATAAGAGAAGATATCAACAATCCAGGAATAGAAATGAAAATGACAACAGTATCCTTACCGCATTGATTTTTGTTATTGTTATTTGCCATTCTGGGAACTGAACTCGGGGCCTAGCAGTTTCAACGTGCTTTACCACTTGAGCCACAACCCCAGCCCTTTTGCTTTTTCAGTTTGTTTTTCAGATAGAGTCTGGCACTAACTTAACTTGGGCTGGCATAAGACCACGATCCTCCTATCTCTGCCTCCCAAGTGGCTGAGATTACAGGAGTGTCCCACCACACTTAGTCCTTGATTTGTTTTGTGTATGCAGAGTTGTAGATAAAGGGAATAAAAATTAAGGAAGAAATTTCTGTGGTTTTATAAAGAACAGATAGGCAAAAATAAAGTTAATAAAGTTTCATTATTTCCCTGTTGTAGAGTAGATAGTTGGGCTTTGGCTGTGGATCAATAGTTCCAAGTTTGTACTTATTAATCATTTAATATTTAATTTAGAGGAAAACTCAAACATTTTGGTGATAGGTCCACTGGCTTCTGATTAGCAATTCTTTATTTAATCCAAAAATTTAATTGGATCAAATACATAATATAATTCTGGAATGCCAACAAATTTGGCCCCTTTCAATATGTTTATGAATGCCTCCTCCATAAATTAAATAAAGTGATTTTTTTAAAACTATATTTATTTCCATTCTTCCTAAATTAAAAACCCTTAGGTAATAGCATTTATAATCAGAGGCTACACCTTGCTTAATTCTGAAATAAATGTGAATAAATTGAATTAAATGCAAACCTCTCCATTCATTTTCACTGGAAATATGTGTTGTGTGGATGACCAAAAAGTGACAAAATATTTTCTGTCCCCAACAAAATTAATTACTTTCTGAGACTAAGTTACCTTCTGAAAGTTGGAGGGTCTCTTCAACATGGAAGAATTGACCAGGGATTGTGGATCTGGATCCAACCCTAATGGTGATTTCACAGGGAATTGTGCTAGGCACTCATCTAATGACATTTTGTATTAAAAGTTTGTGATTCATAAAGCAATTTTATTTCTGAAAGCAGAAGCCTTTTTTCTGTCTGGATAGATTATCTGCTTATGCATGTTTCTCTTGTGTTGAAGATCCCAGGTAGGATTTTGTTCAGTACAGAGAAGGCTAATTCTCTGCTGTGGGGAGCAGTCTGCAGCATCCTACATTACCTGCATCTTCACTGGATGTGTAAGAAGCCATGAAGCCTCCATAAGGCCGGGACCCATCCGTGAAAAACACAACCTTCATTGTGTTTCCTGAAGATCTTATCTCATTATTTGCATTCACATTGCTACACAGCTTCTCTAGCTGAGGTGAGTTACTTCTAATGCCATTGAATATCTGTTGGAAAAATAGTTTGACCTTTAGATATGCAGTCCACCTTCCTGAATATTTCCTAGGAGATGGCACTCTCAGTTCAGACTCACCTCTTTCTAAGAGGACCCTTTGCTAAAACGAATTAGTTAATAATACAAGCACCTATCCCCACACCGTAAGCCACCGTTACCCTGGGCACATTTTGTGGCCTTAGGGGCATTTCACTAAAATGAATGTTTTGCAGAAATGCCCTCCTACCACATGGTGACAAATAAAAGTCTGCTGTTCACTTGACAAGTGGACACTGTGCTCTCGAGGGAAACATAGGTGCCTTGTTGCTTACACCGTAGTTTACAGGGTTCAGTGATGGGCAGTTTTTCTTAACGCTGCCTCAGGATCTTCAATATTTAGAACATAGACTTAAATGTTAGTCTCTGATGATTTGAAGTATGTAACAATTCAAATATTTTTAAATACCTTGAAAACTTAAAAAGTCAATCTTAATGTAAATATAATGGTTCTTTCTTAACTACTTACAGATTCAAAGCTTCAATTTTCCTACTTACTTGATTTTTTAAAAAGGGATTATTATTGACTCCAAAATATTAAATACTAACTTTAGTTATTTGTATAGTTATAATATTGGCAAAGTGTTTTTCTACTTCTGTATAAAACCAAGTGAATATTTTAACATGCCTGGCTTTCAGAGTTCAAAAAAGATCCAGAAGAAATAACAATAATTCACTGATTCAGCAATGAATATTAAAAGGGATTTGAATGGCTCACTATTAGAAGTATCAGAAATAGACTCAGACCATTAGAAATATGACTCAGACTGTGACACTAAAAGCTATATGGGAGGAGATGGGCTGTAGTATAAAAAATGCAAGTTTTCTATTTACTGTAATTAATGATTGAATTTGGCTCTTTGGGGGCTTCTGGTTTAAAATGTCTTCTGGCTTCCAAGACTAGATGAAAAAAGTTCTATTATTTATTGAGCAGACACATGTCAGACTCTGCTAATCACCCACTCAGACTATCTTCCCCAGTCAGCACAACACCCTCTCAAGCATATACCAGGACCTTTTTTCCAGATGGAGACACTATAACACAGAAAGATTTGAGCTTGCTGAAATTCGGAGAACTAGGAATACTCAAAGTAGGATTCAAACTCTGATTTCAAACCACAAAGCAAAGCACAAAGAAAAATATAAGGTGACAAATATTTCAATAATACAAAACAGGAATGGATAACACATTGCCAGACTCAAAAGGGATGATGCCAGCTATGAATCTAAGGAGACATATTGGACACCATGCTCAATGCTCATCATCCCTGCCTCTCACTGCCTGGGGCAGAATCAGTGACTAAAGATTATTCAGTCATCCATTTATCACCAGACTTCTGCCTTCAGAAGCAACCAGAGTGCCATTTCCATTCTTGTCCTTTAGTCCCTTTTGTACTCAGAAACTTCAACTCCCAGAAGACAAGTGGGTAGAAATGGGCACATGCAACTCAAGAAAGGTTATTGAATTTGCTATGAGCAGGAACAAAATCAAACACAGTCTCACTGTATACACATTAGGTGGTGTGACTTTTCATTTTCTCCATCGACAGGGTCAGTGTCTGGAGGAATTTTATGCTCAGTCTGGCTGGATAAGCTATTAGACAAGCAGCAGTGCTCTTAAAGCCACCCCACTCCACCCGCAGGTCTTAGAAAAGGTTTCTTTCTTTCTTGGAAAGTGTTCAAGTAAATAGTGGGTGAAATAATTTATTTGAAGCAGAGTGAAGATGAGAAAAAAATATTGACAATACAAAAATAGTTCAAAGAAATGGAATGTGGACACCATACTAATGAAATAAATTCCGAAAGTGACTCCTTGTTTGAATTTTAACCTTCCCTAGAGAAAGGACCTGCAGACATGATATTTCCTATTCAAAGTCAAATTTCACCATCAGTTACCTCTCATGAAATACACAAATTAACAGCTCCAGTTCATATTGACCTTTAGATATGCAGTCATATCTTTCAACCAACCTTTTCATACTTCATTCTTAAATATGAATGAACAGTCAAGGATCATCAGGCATCTAGGAAAATGTTTAATATAAAAGGCAGAGACTAATATAAGTAAGTAGAATGTAAGAACCTGAAGGAAACTGACCTCAAAAGAAGCAAAATAAAACTTCAAAATTATGATTAACATAGTCACACATATATGACTATATTGAATATAATAACTGATAGGTACATTCTGATAATGATAGTAAAATAAGCCTAATTTCAGGTAGGCATGTTCTGAAAAACTTCATCACTCATGCTCACTTCCCTTAGGGAACTATAAGAGCATTTGCTTCACCAAGGAAAGGAAATTAACCAAGAAAAGGAAATGCATAGTATGATAAAGCCAGGGGGCCAGCCTCAGAGAGCAATAAAGGGGCTTGCAAATATGATGGGGAAGGGAAATCCTGAAATAACAGCTGGCATCCTGCTTGCAGCTGATGAATAACGGTTCAAGGAAGGATATTACCAAAGAAAACAAATGGAACTGACAGGTGTGTTTATTATATAGAGATGTGCACCTAGAGTGGAAAGGGTGTGGAAGAATTAGTGATCAAACACAGAAAACCCAGAAAATGTAAAAATAATGCAACTGTTATTATTATTTGGGAAAAAAAGCAAATGTGGCCATAGTATATCACGTGGCTTAGTTATGAATAGCGTTTACAAAACCACCAAAATGTAAACACTGAATGATAATTTAAATGAAAGCTGTGGCATATGCATTTTAGAAGAGGTGGGAGAGAATGTGAACTGTGAACTCTCTAGGTGCACTTGTGGTGGTAGGAAGCTCATTCCTCACCTTTCGTAGTAGGATGTGGGTAGGTGATGCCCAGGAGCAAAACATGAAAGAGTGGCTTCAGAAATGATGGCATAAATGCCACAGAAGTAACTGAAAGACTGGAAAGTAGAGGCTTTGGCATTAATGATTAATGGGGAGACAAGTAAGGCTTGGTTTGAAATTCATGGTTATTGTCATTTTATTTTTTATTTGAGTTCTAAAACTATGACTTTATATTATCTTTCCTGTAAGACATGTGCTTAGTCTGCTGGTAAAATTCCTAGTAATCACTGCATTAAATATGATTTAAATATGGAAATAATTTAAAGGAAAAAAAACCTCTTAGTATATACATGAAAATTTTAGTAATGGGTGTTTAGAATTACAAAATTTTACTTATTTTTTCTGAACTCTCAAAATATTATTCAATAACCATCCACATATTTAAAAGCACAAAAGATTGAAGTTAGTATTCAATTGAATTTCTATCACATAACTATGATACATGAAAATTATGCATTGCTCTGAAGAGATAAGAAAATGCACAAACATATGTCATAGTGAGAGTGGTCAATCTTTTTTCTACTTCATCTTTGTCTACATACCTAATTCAATCAATAATGAGAAAACATGTTCCTTAAAATTAACAGTCAGTCTAACATTTCCTGGCTCTTAAATAAGAGAAAACACACAGAGCTCTATATTGTCAATATCTGAGAAAAGACATTTCGATTCTTAAGATATCAGAATTTGGGAAGACTGGAAGGTTGATTGAGATCATTGTAGGGCAATGCAAAGTGATAACAGAATGTCACAGGATGTTTGTATCTTTGAAGTTCATTATCTAGTTGAAGCTATCCAAACTGAAAACAAAAGTGTCTTAGTTTTTAGAAGCTAACAACATTACTTCTACTATTCATTCATTCAGTGATTTTTATGTATGTGATGCACAGGCACTGGGAATTCAGTAGTGAGTGAAACTAAGTGCCTGCCCTCACAGAGCTTACATTTTAGTCGCAAGAACAGACGGTAAACAGATGAGCAAATAAATGTGAGGTATGTCAGCTGATGTGAGGTGCTGGAGAATGGCAATACAGGGGAAGGATAGGCCAGTGTGGGCTCTACTTAATATGGGGAACTTAGGGAAGGCCTCATGGATCAATCACTGGAACAGGGACTGGAATGAAGTAAGGCAGATATCTGGGAGGAGTATTCCAGATGGAGACAATGGAATATGTAAAGACATGATATGTGAGCCTTGTACAGGCTAAGCAAGTTCTCTTCTACTGAGCTGCATCTCTAGGCCCAACATGATCTGATTTAGATTTCAATCCATCCTACCAGCTACTGTGCTGAGAATGTAGGGAGAAGGGTGGAAGTAGAGAGACCAGCTGGAAGCTAATAGAATAATCTAAATGAGTGGTGACGGTGACAGTAGCAGACAGATGAATCATTAGGTTTGGGATATTTTTTAAAGGTACAGCTAGTGGAACTTTTATACAGATGCAACATAGGGTGTGAGAGAAAGGATTCCAAAACAGACATGAAGATTTTTTGACCTGAGGAATTGGAAGTTGTAAGTTACTAAGATGACAAAGAGTGCAGAAAGGGCCAAGTTAGGTATAGAAGTGCACTAACATTAATCTAATCTATCTATATTTGTGCAAATGTGCATATCTATGTACACATACACATATATGTGTGTGCATTTGTGTGCATAACAATACTCAGTTAACAATATGTTTGTTATTCACACTTGTGGATCTTATTTGCTTTCTTTGCAGAGGGAAGCTAAGAGTGCTGAGGACACTTCTAACCAGTTGAGCTTGGCAACAGGGAGGGCTGCAGTGCTGGTGTCCTGGAAGGAATCCCTTAATACTTCTGGCAGAGAACAGTGATAATGCAAGACCACTCATCTGCTTAAGGCTATTGATGGTGACTTGTGCTGTGATTCTGGTCGCCTTCATCTATGTCTTGCCCTTAAGCTTAGCTTTTTTCTGCTTCTTCTCTTTTGAGAGATAATGATTATTTGCTCTAAAAATTTATGCTATCTATGATCCTGTTGTACTCAGTGACAATAGTTATTGTCTTAAAACAGTGCTTGCAGTTATTTTGGCAGTTTATGGTGATTTCATTCTATCTAAAATAACTAGAATTTGTCAGAGATACTGTTGCATAAATGGCAATATTCTGACCCAGTTTTCAGACGATTTATAGGTCAGTAAACTCCCTCCAGAGTAGAACATGATACCCCTGACTAAAGGGAACACTTACAATCACATGCTCATTGTCACAGAATGGGTGAGCTTCTAGCCTGAGGTCGTTAAAAGTTAGGATGATCTTCTTTCCTTCTGGTACAGTGATCCTCCATTCGCAGAACCAGCCATGTGGGTTTGGATTCGGGTAGTTGGGAGACGTAAATGTTCCAGTGGACAACTGTAAATCTCCACCACATGCTGAAAGCAGGAAATAAAATAGAAACTTCCCATCAAACCAAAATGATTCCCTCCACAAGGAATGCTTTAAAACAAAAGCAATTTAAAAATTCTTCTTCTAGACAAATTATTACTCTTGATTATCACTATATGAATTTTTAAAGGCTGGGACCAGGGCATCATGCATGTTGGCTCTGCCCCTGAATCAACATCTCCAACCCCTATTTATCTGTACATGTATCTGAGCACTTTTAGACAATATCTGTAACCACTTCTCATCTCTGTTACTATTTATCTCACTTCTATGGATGACAGTCCTGGCCTTATTTTAATTATTACCATGGTTCAAGATATATGAAATACCAATAGATACAGTGAACTTAGGAAGACTAAATTTCCAATTTTTTAGACATTATCCTTATTTCACCTGAGTTTGTCAGGGCATTGAAGAATGTGAGTTCTGGGTAATTGTGGAACTAAAGAACTGTTTTTCTTCAGATAGGCCTCATGGTATAATTCTCATCTCTTACTAAATCTCTCACAGTACTAGTTACTTTCCTTTGTAGCACTTATCACAGTGGTAATTTCTCATTTGTTACTGTGACGGATTAATATCTACCTTTCTATTAACCATAGGGTTAAGAAGACAGGGTCATGTTTTATTTTTAAAATAATCCAATACCAATGCCTAGCATGGCATCTACCCACTGCAAATGATCAATAATTTTTTAAATGAATCGGTGAACTCACCTTCCATGCTGGATTGAAATTGCAGTCTAAATCCTGAAGCAGTTAGAGAGCCATCTGTGACAAATCTGACTGTGGCGACATTGCTAGTAGTGTCTATCAGGTCAGGAATGCTGTTTCCACAGAATCTTCCCAAAAGACTTCCTGTGAGGGTTAAAGAATAAATAAATAAACAAATAAATAAATATATGTATATGTATATACATATACAGTTTTATACACACACACACACACACACACACACACAAATGATTGATTTCTTTTAACCTCTACTTGAGGCATTCTGCACACATGAGGAAAATAGTAAGAGAAAAAAACCTGTCTGTGAAGAAATGGTAACCACCATTAGGAAAACCAGAAAATCATAATTAAAAGTCAGTTTATTCGAGTTTATGAAGATGTATAAAAATAATATAACCAATCAGGGAAAGGATATTTCAGCACAGTAAGGAAGGCTTGTTCATGTGGTTAAAGAAATGGTCTCAGTCAACAGAGAGACAAGTGTGCATCTGATATGGTCACCTTTCCTCTCCTTATACGACAGGACAGCAACAACTGCATGTGGCCCTGAGGGGTCTCAGCAGGAACAGGATGCCTAACCAAGCACAGCACTGTCTCAGCATGGGCTCCAGGACGAGTTACATAATGACACTGGGGGCTTTGGGCATCCATTGAGAATGGGTAAAATCAAAGGAGGGACAGAATTGGTGATGCTGCCCAGAGCTAATTAATCCGCATTTTTCTGTAGAGAGTAGGTATACTTTTACTTTTCTTGCATGAAAAGAAATTTCACAGGCTAAATAAGTATATGAGAAAGTTAAGACCCTAAAAGACAGAAGACATATTGCACTGACCAGAGGTAAGGTTTTCCCAGATCTCCACAAAGTCTTTTTCACAGCTAGCAGAATTCTGAAGGTCCAGATCTTCAAAATGGATGGTGAGATAGTGTTCTGAGAGGCCCTGGAGCTGCCACTGGCAAAATAAATTGTTTGGATACGGCAGGGTTGGGTATCCAACACTTTCAATGACTCCACTCTGCCCTGTTACTGTTCCTCCACACTGGGCTACAGAAAACGAAAGGAACAATATTCCATTACAGATTTTTTTCTCTGATTAAGCCAGCATTTAAAAAACTTTTTAGGTGCCAAGTGACTATAAGTCAAAGTCATAAAAATTCTGAAAATCATTGGTGAAGCTTTCCTTATTATTTGAAATCTACTGTAGATGCAAAGAGAAATAATATCACAAGTCCAATCAATCATGGGAAATGGAAAATGACTAGTGAATGGCATATTCTGTAATGTCACATTAAGTCTCATAGGACAGTAGGTAAGAGCCATAAGTTGCAAGTAAATTTCAAGAACCAACTGATATGGTACACTTACTGTCTTGTGTTAATGATTCTAAACACTGTCCAAACTCAGCTGGAAGAGATACTAAGCTGGTGATGGTGGCCATGTCTAGTTTTAGTATCAATTAAACAGTGTGCTGCAATAACTGGTACTTCAGGGTCTTGAAAATTATTATTTGATTGCCTCTTATCAGCTCGATGCAATAGCTAAATTGAATTATATACAATTTGACTCAGAATAGACTTACAGTATAGGCTAAATAGTGTTACAACGAGGCTTTCTGAATTTTTGCTGTATTCAATATTTGTTTGGATAATGTCCAGACACACCAGATATTAAATTATATGCCATTGTTACCATACTGGAGTGAATTTCAATATGTATATTTATCAACCATTTTTTAAAAAAGGAAATCAAACTCTGAGGGGATATATTTGCTTTTAGTCAGTAACTGATTTGGCACTGAAGACTTAGAAGGAAAAAAAAAAAACTCAGTTACCCTATCAATGAAAAGGAGATGCAAGTCACCATTCTAAAAATAGTGGTTTGATTACTAAATACTTTCACTATGTGAAGTAACACCACATTTATTTTATGGTAAGAGGAAGAAATAGAATTTGATTTAACTGAATGTATTTTTCACAAAACAAGTCAGGGAAAATATGAAATATTCAAATTTACTAAAAATAGTGTTTTAATATGACAATGAAAGAAGACATTAATATTGGTAAGTGACTTTGTGGTTTTAAACATTATACTTCTTTCTATCATTAAAATAATTCTTAAAATTAGGCAGATAGCTGGGCACCAATGGCTCACACCCATAATCCTAGTTACTTGGGAGGCTAAGATCAGAAGGATTGTGGTTGAAGGCCAGCCCAGGCAAACAGTTATCAAGATCCCACCTCCAAAATAACCACAGCAAAATGGAGTGGAAGTGTGGCTCAATCAGCAGAATGCCTTCTTTGAGAGCATCTGCTTGGTAAGTACTTAAGCCCTGAGTTCAAACTCTAGTCCCACCAAACAAAAAAATTAGGTGGATAAACTTTTTTTTAAAAGGCATATTGTCATTAAAAGTTTTAATGTATTCATTCTGCTCTTACTTTCCTATTTAATTTTTTTAATGTAGTTACCTATGGAATATTTGGCCTTGAATCCCACGTGGGTGGTGCTGCTGCCAGACTGGAATCTCAAATACATCACCTCTCTTGAGGACAACTGACTATTGGGTAAAGATATCCCACAAAATTTGGAAAGCACTGGTGCGTTTGAATCAACTCCATCCCGCAACTCAAGGTAACTCGAAGTACAGCTAAAGTGAGGAAAAAAAAAAAACTTATGTTAAATGTATAAGGTCAATTGCTTTGACTTATTTTGACTTTGAAGGCTTCCCTCACTTTCTTCAAGGACATTATTAAATTGTCCTTTCTGTAGCATAAGACCCTTCGACAGAGTCAGTTAGAGTTTCAATGTCCTTTTTAAATGCTGTGTATTTTCTAATGATAATACAACCTTTCATTAGTAGCTCAAGAAGGCAGGTTTTACATGTACTACACTGGAGAACAGTTACTTGCCTTCCATATCCTGGGTTAATTTTACAACTATAACAGTCATTTTCAAATTGACCCCTATGATTTCAGCAAAACTAGTATTTCATTTCACATGATAATTTGGTATGTTTCACATGAGAAAGATGAACTCTTTCTTGGCAGCTCTATGACCAGGGCTAATGGGGAGTCTCAGCTGGAATTTTCAGTATCCATAAAAGAAGACAAATCTTTACCTAATGTTTCCCTGAGAAAGCCAAACCAGCAAATTAATGCTGAGTAAACGGAAGAATAGAATTGTAGCTGGTGTCCAGAAATGGTAAGCAAAGTTTTGCATTACACATGCGTTCATGAAAAGAGAAAACCATGGAGGGGAGTATTACAGATTATGAGGTTTTCCTTTGTTTTTTACATAGTAAGGCATACTTTATGAGGAGTAATCCTTAAGAATCTTTATTAAATCAAGGCTGAGAAATTGTACTATGATTGCTTTAATGTTATGTCTGACACTAGTGACCCCTGGTGCCACCTCACACAAGTTCTCATTTGTTAAACATATATTTATCATCTATGATATTGACTGTGAAGTAGGGCAAATGAGTACTCATCTACCAGAGGCATTATCTTTTCCTGTGGGAGAAAGAATGGCTCACATAAATCTCAAATAGCCGCCCTCAGTGTCTCCTGGTGAATGTGTCGAGGGTCATGAGAGACAATATCTGTGTATATAATCTGCTCAGCTGATGTGAGAGTGACTGCCAGACAAGATTTTGAGGCTGGCAGCATTAAACTTGTCCTTTTGTCCCCAGATTTCCTATGCAGTATGTACTGCTGAGAAAAGGAGAAATAAATTGTTCATTACAAAATACTGACTTTGGATAGGAGAAACACTAAAATGGAGTGACCTACTTGGGTGTTTCTTCAATATCGAATTGATCTTCAAATTGCAGCCTTATGCTCTTTCCTGGAGGGGCTGCTATGATCCAAATGCAATCGATGTGCTGGGGATAACTGGCAGGATAGTTGGGAGAGGTAACGTATCCAGTAGAATCAGCATCATGGATGTAGACATTTCCCCCACAGGCTGTGAGGAAAGACAATATAATCAATCTACAGTCTGGTGCAGGAAGACACAGTCAACTCCTACAGTCATTTTTTAAAGTCAATCTGTCTGAATTTCCAGGCTCAATTTCCTTTCATGTGTTATTATCTTTATGTTCTCCTTAAACAAATTCTCAATTTGCTAGTGACTGAGCTACCCGGTATGTCAGTTTTTAACTTGCCAAACCTTGTATTCTTATTGGAAACTTCATTCTTTCTTAAAACCAACATAAAAATGATGACAAGCAGTGCATGCAGCATCACAGAAGCATAAATCCAGATCAGTTCCTGAGATGGGCATGTAAGTACATGAGCAGGTATAACTTCCCACTGCCTATTGAGCCCAGTGGACTTTTGCAGAGCTATGATCTTGATGCACTTAAAGCTAAGCAGATGTGTGATTTGTATAACTCTGTGGGCATTCTTTCATTTTATTTCTTCAGGACTGAGAAGCATTTGAAGAGCAAGAGATCAATAATGTGAAATAATTTATTGGCCTTTTTTGCAAGAAGATGAAAGAGCCTTTTATACTTCCTTTTCTAAAGCACCAAAGCATTATATGAAATATTTCCTTTTATCAATAAATGAAAGGAAATTTATTTGGCAATTTCAGCAAACAAACTACTCAGGCACAAACACATTTACAGTGCCATGAAATTAACCTGTCCAATGACTTAACTCAAGCAATATTTATTTCCACAGTCAGTCTGTCACTTGTAGTCACATCTTGAATTTTAACATTAACTAGAACTATCTCTGAAACCCTGAATTGCAAACCCCTTCGATAGTCTTTAACTCCCCTGGCCCATGTCTTTCCTTCAGACTCCCCTTGCAAAATTCTATGATTGTGTTTAATTCAAGCCATTCATGGAAATTGATACCACTGAAAATATATGTTCTCTGATCTCAACTTTACTGAACAATTTGTCCATTACTTTTCATATGAACTATAACAGTCAGTTGAAACTTTATTCCCTTAATACTTTATTTTCCCCATTCCCTCTTGATTCTTAGCACACTACCTGGAGTTCTGCCTAAAAAAGAAAATAAAAGGAATCAGATGAGAATCATGTCAATTTGTAATCCCTCATCTGTTACCATCCTCAGTAAATTCATCTGTACCTCTGTCCTCCCTCTCTGGACACCAACATTATCTTCCTGCATCTCTGGATCAGGTTTCCATCCCATCTGTCTTCTCTAGGATCGTCTTATTCTTAACCTCTCTCCTGCTATGGGGTCAATCTCAATCTCTGCCTTCATTCCTCAAACCTATCAAGCACACTAGATCAAACTCTCATTTACCTCAAAGTCATTTACCCAAAAATCTTTGCTTAATCCTTATTTTATATCCATAGCATGACCACATCTTCCTTTTTCTTTTTTTTCATTTGTGTCCCTTAGTCTCACAGACGCCAAGCTCTTCTCCTCCTCCTTTCAATCCTATCATCATTTCTCCTGTGCCCCTTGGGTACTACTTTCTAGGGTTTTCTTGACACTGCTTGAGATACCTAAGAGTCTTTCTGTAGGTCTTTCATATTCTTATTCTGACTCAGCCCCTGATTAATGCCATATATCCTCAAGACTTGAACTACAACCAGTCCGCAGAGTCCCATATTTACGGATTTAGTCTAGATCTCTCTTCTCATGTCTAAACCTCCACATCGTGTTCCAGTAGCCTGCTGGACATTTCCACTGGATGTAATTCAGAGATTTCAAACTGAATATGTCTCAGGCATTGTCTGTGAGCCATCCAGAGCTCCATACATGAGTGAGGGTTGTCACCTCCCTATCTACCTCTGCTGACTTGTTTTTCTCCTTAGTGCTTTACCATGTTACATTAGCTATTTTACTCATTTATCATCTGTATTTAAAAGCTAAAGTAAAGGCTGGCAGGGTGGCTCACATGACAGAGAGCCTGCCTAGCAAGCGTGAGGCCCTGAGTTCAAACCCCAGTACCATCAAAATATAAGTAAATGAACAAAACTAAAGTTAAACTCAATAAGGACATGGATTTGGTTTCCTGCTGAATCACCAGGATTTAATTCAGTGTCTATCACATGGAAAGGTCTTGTAGAGGGCATGGTGGTACATGTCTGTAATCCCAGCCCTTAGGAAGCTAAGGCAGAAAGATTCAGAGTATGAGACCAGCACAGATTACAGAGCAAGACTGTATTTCAAAAAAAAGTTGTATGAATGTACCCACCAAGCCAGAAACCCAAAAGTTACTCATAGCTCTTCCATCCTTCATCTCTCCTTCCACATCAAAGGGACCTCCAAATCCACTCAGTTCTGTATTTATAATATTTTTGAATAACCCGTCTACCTTCTTACTGCCATTGCCTTAGTTTAGGACCTGATAATTTTTTTTTCCTGAATAGTTTTTTAAAAGGTCTCTCTCACTTTAGTCTTTCCCCCCTCCAAAATGTTCTCAATTATGCAGCCAACTGATGTTTCTAATCTAATTATGCAATACATGATCTTTCAATGGCTCCCCGTAATCTTCTAGCTAACATTTTATCTCCTTGGGGTGGTATTCCGGGCTCGTACAATGATAATCCCTTCCTTCCTTAGCACTGTATTTACTTCCTTTTGAAGAGCTCCAACATTAGTAAATTCTTTCAAAACTGCAAATAAGTCTTACTTTATAACTAAGATTTCTATGTTGCCACATCCTTTCTCATTCTGGAGGCCTCTTTAGGGGGCCTTCTTTGATCGCTTCAGTTAAATAGATTTTTATCCTATGTGTTTACAGTTCCTGATCTATTTCTCCATCTGGCAGTTATTATGCCGTGTAATAGTTGTACCTATTCACTAGACCCAAAGCACTATCCTCTGATAATGTTAAGTACCGGGTGAAATCCCATCCCATTCACAAGTCAGCCACAAAGCCCAGCATAAAGAAGGGGAAGGAAGGGAAGCTCCCAACCTATAAAGCAAAGGCACTGGCACTACACACCTGTTCAAGCTCCCTCCGTGCCAGAGCTGTGTGACTGCGGAGTGAACAGTCTATTACTTGTCTCGGTCCCTACTCACAGATAATTTTTTGTGTGACAGCTGATTGAAACTTTATTTCCTTTCCTTTCCCAAAATGATGGAATGAAGCTGGCAATTTAAATTCTCACATTTGGGGAAATGTACGATGGTTTCACTGAGATTAATGTATATTTTGAAATTTATTCAAGAGTCTGGGATTAAGGTCATAAAATCATCTTGAAATCCATACCATCTAATTGTGAGGGGACGAGCAAAGATTTACTATCATTATTTCCCTTCCTGACACTACTCCCTGTTTTTTGAAGCTACTCCTATTTATTTACTTATTCAGTTAAACACTGTTAAGAAGTAAATGTCACAAAAAATCAAATCATTACAGAAGCATTAAATACAATTATAATTAACTATAATTAAATAAAGGTGATTAAATAAAGATCACTGTTGTAAATAGAATAATAATAGAATCATAGGGTTTGTGTTCATTTAAAAGGTAACATACAAATGATTACAAAATAAGGCATCATAAGCCTTACAGTGTTTTTATAACTAGGTTTAACTTATAATGGAATGCATCCAATAAGATTGGTTCATTTTGTACACATGGTGAATTTTACTTTGTCACTGACTAGAAAAAGCTAGAGAAGTCCAAACCTTAGTGTATTTATCTATAAAATGGAAATAATGATACTTTCCTTTAAATGTGAAACCCCTTACTATGTACAATTTATTATACACAAATAAAATGTCTTCCAAATTATCCATTATGCATGTTTGTGCATGTATAAAACTGTGTGTGTGTGTGTGAGTTCAAAAAGTAGTCACATTGAGATATTTAATATACAGGCATATAATGAGAGCTCAGTGATGGGAAGCTATTCTTATTAATGTCATTACTGTACTCTTAGTTCAGAAAAGAAAAATTTGCATGTTTTCTCAAATCCATTTAAACAAGGAAGCCAACCAACTGAGGGGAAGTGCAAGTATACCTCTCAATGGCAATACTTACCTAAACTCTTTGCCTCATATGTGATCTTAAATCCTTGCCCTCCATTATTGTTATTGTCAGAAATAAACTGAACAAACATTTGATTGTCTGATGTGAACAGAGTTGATGAAGGTCGACTGCCACAAAAATGACCATTTCCTCCCTGGGGCCCCAAGGGTGGAGATGAGATATCTGGTCCATTTTTTAGCTGAAAAGACATATTAATTGCATTAATTCCTTTATATTGTGAAAGATGGAGTGAAAAAGTCCTATCAATGTAGGTCTCAAGAGAGAAAAATCATTGCTTTGTTTTCTAAGTAGTCTGCAGAAACTTATAAAGGGTAGCAACAAGACCTACCACCAAGTGATCCCCATGGTTGCAAGAAGAATCTTCATTTGGAATCTGGAAGGGCTGTTCAAAATGGACGGCAATAGACAGACCAGTCTGGGCCAGGACATGCCAAGAGCAGCTGAGGTTGGGAGGGTAGGTCTCTGGGTACTTGGGGGATGTGATAATCCCTCTGTCTGCATGCAAATATCCACCACAGCCTTCCCAAGAAGAAAGAAAAAAAGGTCGGTTATTTAAGTACATACAACTAGATTTTCATGCTTTCCTGTTTTTCTTGGGGGCTTCTTGGGTGTAGGCAATACAAGTGAGATTTGAAATTAATTGGGACCAAAGTGTAAATGATTAGCACAATAAGCACTGAATGAACACACACTATTGGTACCCATGAGGTTGTTGTTGTTAAGATCTGGGTTATAGAGGTAAGCAATGGAGACAAATCACTTCAATAAAGTTTACAGATGAGGAAAATAAGTAATTAACTAATATACAGTCTATAAAAAATAGTGCTAAGTCCTATAAAGGAGAAGCAAGGGGGAGAAGGAGAGGCATACTATATCATCTGGGAAGTTAGAGAAGGTCATACCCTTGGGGTAACAACTGAGCAGAGACCTGGATGAAATGAGGAATCAAGCCAGGTGGTCTTATAGAAGAAGAACATTCCAGCTCAAAAATCAATGTAAAGGTTTGATATGTTAAGAGGGACATCATGGAAGTCAGAATGGATGATGCAAAATGAGAGATCCAAAAAAGTAGCATGGCTAGGTCACACGGGAAGAAGAATGGACTTGTTCTGAGTAAGAAAAGGAAAATATTAAGAGCTTTTAACATCAGAATGGCACCATCTGATTTAAATTATAAAGTGATCACTGTCTGCAGTACTCAGACTCCAAGAGGCAAGGAGCAGGGAAAAGCAGAGACAGAAAATCCAGTAAGAAGGGGATTGCTTGAGTTCAAGAACAGGTAATAGAGGCCTGGACAAAGACAGTAGCAGAAAAAATGGAGAAAAGTAGTTGGAATCTCCCAGTGGAGAGTAGAACCATTGGGATTTGTGTATGTTTAGGATGTAGGGTATGAGAAAAAGAAAACTCAAGTATGACATCAAGATTTTGTGCTTAAATAAATGTACTTGCCATTTACTAAGATTATAAAGAGTGTGGAATGAGCAATTTTGTGAGAGAAAGAAAGGGTGGGAAGCCAAAGTCCAGTTTGCACATCTTTAGTTTGAAATACCTTCTAGACATAGAGCTCTTGAGTGTGTACATATACATATGTAACACAAGTATGCTTATATTTTATATACATGCATACATACATGTCACAATGGTTTTACCCTCACTACACATACACACACACACATATACACACACACACACACACACACACACATACAATGATGAGTTGACACAAATACATAGATGACAGAGGGAGAAAGAGAGAGAGGGTGGGGGACACTGGAAGTTAAAGAAGAGGTTTGAATGACACAGACAGATCTTCAAGTGAGCAAGGAAAACTGACACAAGTTAAATTGCAGAGGTGTAAATCTATCTTAAATCTAATTCTAAAGCTCAGTCTCTTAAACCACTACACAACCTGCTTGCATTAAGTATGAGAAAGATAATTTTCTTCAGTAGCTACAAACTTTATGAAAGTCATCTATAACAATGAAGGAAATATAGTTATTTTTAATGTTAGGTTGAGAGTCTACTTTAAAATTATGTTTTTCATACATAACAGTCTTCTAATAGTCTGTGAACTGTTTCTTTAATTTCAATCTAGTTTATATTTAAAGTTATTACTGTCAAGTTTTGATTATCATGGGACACATAGCATCTCCTATACTATACACATTCTCTGATTCATCTAAGTTGTATTTCAAGAACAGATATTTCCTGCTAACCCTTGAATGGTTGATGTCAACCAAAGGGCTTATGAAGATACTGTCTATATTATGTTTGCTGGTTATTTCTTGGATTGAAGATAACTCTGACTTACTGCTCCACTGATGTGTTATGTATATTGTTATCTTCCAGTTCCAGCCCTCAGCCAGGCTGTGCCTACCCTGAACACACCTTCATTGGAGGTGAAATGCCCCACTCAGAGACCCAAAGATAGGATACTGCTTTGTACAACCTAGTCACAGTGCTATGTATTGGGACTTGGTTACTAAAGCATCCTGAGGTGGCAGAGACTTGTGTCCTCTGATTTATAACCCATGTCCTGCATAGAAAAATGAGTTGGGTGTATTAGGGAGAGAGATATGAGAGGAGAGGAGATAACAAATGTCACATTACTCTTGTGAAAGGAGGCATTGAAACCTGCTCCCACGACGCTGAGGTCAGAGGTGAAGCGGATAAACATGTATTCTCCAGTGGACCGGATGGGCCCGGGGATCTCTCTGCCACAGAGCACAGCTAGCTGCTGGGCCCTGCTATTGTCTCCTGTGACCAAAGAAAGGAAATATCAGTGTGAAAACACAATGTCTTAAGAATTCACTTCACCATCATTTGCAGCCCAGCCAAAGTGGTGAGCACATTTTTCTCAGAACACCAGAGTTTCTAGGAGATAATAGGATTCTTAAAAAGGATGCCACAGGGTGACAGCAGACTGGTTCCAGCTTGCCATGGGGCTGTCTGCCCTTTCCTTTACTCTGCTCACTAGAGACTTCTACAGTTCCCACTGTCTTTCTGAAAACTGGCCGCCAATTCTTCCTAGCACTAAAACTCCAAATCAGAGTACATGAGACTGAGAAGTGATCAAGGGCCTGTGTTTATGTGAGTGTTAATTAGAGACCTTGTCCTTGGTTATTCTGACTGTTGAAGGTCAAGTTCCTATCGTATCCTTAGCCTCTGTTCCTGGACTAATGGTAGGAGGTCAGTCTCCAAGAGGTGTGCTGCTTCAACTGAACCCTTTTTTCAGCTAGAGTGGGATTTTAAAAACTTTTCATTTGTCTTATGCTTGTTTTGTTGTAATAGTGTGGAGACTAGGAAATGTTCCAGCCAGAGCAGCCCCTATCAAGAGACACGCAGGAGGGATACATCACTTGATAGCCCCTTTCTTTTTGCTTCTCTTGGATATAAATTTCCATCAGAGCAACTGTTCTAGCTAGGATCAGAATGGAGGAAAGGGGATTATGGCAGACTTGGATTTCTTTGCTAGGAAAATACATTGGTTTGGTGGTTTGGTTGCTTTGTTTTGACTTGTTTTATTTCTCTAAGATAGAGAATAAGTTTTAAGTTTATAAAATGTAAAATTTGAATTTTTTGACAGTAGTGGGGTTTGAACTCAGGACCTCAGCTGGCTAGGAAGCATTCTATCACTTCAGCCAGCACTTTTTTTGCTTTAGTTTATTTTTCAGAGACTGTCTCATGCTTTTTCCCAGGGTCAGCCTCAGGCAATGATCCTCCTACCTCTGCCTGTGACATAGCTGGGATTATAGATGTGAACCACCACATCTGGCTTGCTTTGTGAGATAAGGTCTTGCTAACTTTATGCTCAGGCTGGCCTTGAACCACAGTCCTCCCAATCTCTGCCTCTTGCATAGCTACAAAAATTGAATTTGAGGCATGAGAAAATTTTCTCTTTTGTACAAAAAGCAAAATAAATCTTTTTTTTGCACTGACCTTAAAACTCATTTATCCTTTTCTCTAAATAATTGCTTTATTGATTAATGCATTGATTAGTTGCTAGATAACCCAGTAACTACCAGATAGCTTGTTTCTCACCCACTTCCCAAGTCTAGATATTAAATTTTAGGGCATTTCTAGATCCTTCTAGATCTTTAAAAATAGAATACAGAAGAAATAAGTCCAATCTTTAAAGAAAGGGGAAAGCCAAAGTATCATAATGGACAAGACTAGAAGGTAACTTGTCTAGACCGTCCTGCTCATTTTTAGAGCTGTGGAAACTGAGGCACCAAGATTGTAAAAGCCTGAAATTTTATTGAGCAATTACTATGAAATCAGTTTGAATGACTTACACATAATCTTTTACTTTCAAAATAACATTGTTAAGTAGGAATTATCATTCTCTCCAGGAAAATGAATCTCAGAGGGAATGCAAGTTATATTGTTATATTCAAGGGCAAAGAGCATAGAAGTCAACAATAATTTTAACCTGGAGGTTAACTACAGATGCCCCCAAACTAGGCCATAAAATGATTCGTCTAAGATCATAAACAAAGTACATTTCATTTATCAGTAGATATATGAACTACTGATCTTCCTTCCTTCCCTCTTTCTTTCTTTCTTCCTTCCTTCCCTCACTTTGTTTCTTTTTCATTCTTCCTTTTTAAAACCTTTTTCTAAGCTCATGGAATCTCAGTTTGGAGGAATCTCTGGTATGCGAAATTTGTTGGTGACTGGTCTGGAAAAGACTGATTCAGTTTTAAACAAAAATGCAGAAGCAGGCAGGAAGTGATTTCATCTCCCAGCAGTGATGAAGGATCCTCTCTGGATGGCCCAGGAATGTTCACTACCACTATGGCCAAGGGCAAGGGGCCTGGGGTGACTGGTCAGTTGTATATGTGGTGTATCACTGCTTGTGGCCAATTGGCTTTAGATATTTGCTTCAGAATGTCACATGTCCCTGCTGATGAAGCAAAAAAAGCAGTGGTGCAAAAAACAAGTAATTGAAGCAGCATTTACAATTTAATTCCAAAAAAATTAACACTGTGAAAATAAAGAAAATACTCACCAATTGACCCATGGTAGCTACTCAATAACTTTTTTTAAATGAATAAATAAGCAAATGAAAAAGGAGTGAAGTTATCAGGTATCTATCCATGTTTGTGATAAAAAGGAATCTATATGGATTTGTCATCACAACTGCTTTAAAATAGTTTTGTTTGGGCATATACCTCAATTTGAGAGCTCTTGCAAGTAACTCTAAGTCCGAGCATGGACAATGTAAAACATCTCTTAGCAATGACTACCTAAGTGGTTGAAAACATAACTATTCTGAATTCTGCATCTGCAAAATGCTTGGACTTCTGCTAGATTTTTGCATTTATTACTTTCCCCAATCCCCATAAAAAGCTCATGGGGTAGGAATTTGTCTCTTACAAATGATAAAAGAGGTTTGGACTCATTTAGTGACATGCAAGCTCACACAGAAGAAAGGTAACACTTCCTTGGGTCTATGAACAAAAAGCAGCACAATAGATGGTAGCTTTTAAAGAACAACCACAATTTACTTCATTGTTATTTACCTAGTGAAGTATTTTTGAGCCTTCTACTGGGTTCTGAACACTAAGTATAAGTGTGCAAAGATGCACCCATTTCATTACATGAAAAATTTTAAATTTAACATCCACAGGAGCCCAATGATGTCAGAGAAGAAAACAGTTCTGGGCAATGTGTTGATGGCTGGTTGTGGGTAGGAAACAGGGCAGGGTTCAACACCTCATTGTGTGTGATTGATGTGGTCTTAGTGTCCAGCCTTTAGTGAGGGGACAAAAGCACCTCCACAATTTTATTTTTCTTACTTGAGGGGAGGGCATCTAGGAATGAGGACCTAAGAAGGCAAGAGTCTATGAATTAGCAGCCTGTGGGCCAAATGCGAACACATCTTTATTTTTGCTGAGAATCTTCATTTCTACCAAGTTTCCAGCTGATGTTGACACTGCTGACAAGGGGAAACACTAATGATGAGGCCATGGTCTCCCTGTAGTCCTTCTCTTCAGCCCATTCAAATTGTGAAGCACAATTTTGTGGACGTTGCATATTAGTATTATTCATGCCCCTCAATCACTGCACAACACCACCACACAGGCTTGTAAAGGAAAATGTGCAACAATATTACCTCTTTATTCTACCTATAGATTCTAAGGGCAAGAAGAATCAAATACATTGTATTTTTCACTTGGATCTTAAAGCCATAGGCATAAAATATCAATATTTATTGCCAAGGCTTCTCAATTATAAAAGAAATAAAAGTATCACTCTGAAAATTGAGACTATTATTTCCTCAGGCCTCTCAAAAAGTCTTTGCATTCTCTCAGGAACATTGTGAGATCCCTGATATTTTGTAACAGGAAATTTAAACGCTTTCTTTACACGCTTTAGAAATTGTACCTGTGAAATTCCAAACAGAATGGATGGTGGCAGTATACAAGCATGATGATAACTGAACACAACTATGTGTCAGAGTCGAGAGCATATTTTTTAAATGTTTCTCACCATCTCTTATCATAAGCCTATCATATGCACATGTTCGGTGAGGTTCAATGTCCAACGAGAGGATGTTGAGTTCCACCGTAGAGTCAGGAGCGTAGATAAGCCATGTACAGTCAACGGCATTGTAGTAGTTCTCAGGCCAGCCCGGGGAGAAAAGAAAGATGGGCAGATCTCCTGTTGTCAGGTACCCACCACAAGCACCTGTGGAGTGAAAAGCAATACCTTTGAAATACCTGTAATGGAAAAGAAACCAAAACCTTTTCACTTTTAAGTGACAGTGCTATAAAGAACAGATCCTATCTAGGGTGTTGGTACCAGTGGGAGAGGGCCGGTATCAGAAGAGGGTTGTGACGGGGTGAATATTGTACAAATACTGTATATACATGTATGTATATGGAAAAATGTATCTATTGAGACTATTCCAGGAATGGGGGAAAGAGGGATAAAGGAGAATGATGGAGGTGGTGAATTCAACTCTGATATATTTGATATCTTATAAGAACTTTTGCAAATGCCACAATGTATTCCCCCACATCAGCACAATTTACAAAAAGAAAAAGGAAAAAAAGAAAAGAAGCAATCATTCAACTTTCTCAAAGAAATCAATAAATATTTTATTAACTCACTGATTTAGTTGTCCATGATTTTTCTTTGGGGTTAGAAAAATACATTGTGTTCTACTTTTTCAACAAAATTTTTGTCACACAACTCATTGATTATTGAATGGTTATTTGTTAAGCATAACTAAGTATGTATAGAATAATCTCTCCCCAGTATAATTGGGAGAGAACTATACCCATGGTTTACCTAGTTCTCATATATCTTCATTTTTTAGCATAGCTATTCATCACATTACTTATATCCAGATAATTTCAATTCCTATTTTATAAGTTGAGACACTCAAAAAAGATGTGTGCAGGCTATATTTTTTCAATACATAACAGTCTATTGCACCATAACTCACATACTATAAAAATTTTCCTTTGTAAGGTGTGTCATTCTGCGGTCTTTACTACATTCAAATATCCTGCAACTATCCTCATCATCTAACTTCCAAACATGCTCATCACCACAAAAGAAACTTCATCCCCATAAACACAGCCCCTATCAACCACCAATCTACCTTCTGTCTCTATGGACTTGCCTACCATCACATATCATTGAAGTGGAATCTTACAACAGGTGGCCTTTGTGAGTGGTTTCTTTTACTCAGCATCATGTTTTCCAAAGTTAATCTGTATTGTTGACTGTATCAGTGTTCCCTTCAATTTAAGGCTGAATATCACTCCATTGTGTGGAGAGTACACCATGTAATTTCTCCATTTATTGATTAATGGTGATTTGGGTTGCTTCTCCTTTTCCATTATTTTTTATGAATAATGAGAAATCTGCATTATCAAGAAACATATTTTTATAAAATGTAGAATTTATGAATATAAAAAGGCATCTGTACATTTAGAGGAAAGGCTTTGGGACTCCACTTTTGTGTTTGTGAGTGGACACTTTGAAATGTTGGCCTGTAAGTATCAGTCCCAAAAAGAATTTCATTCACTACCAGAAAGAAGAAAATCAAGGTGATGACAGGCTTTGTGAGTTTTCACTGAAGCAAACTTATAAAAATCCTTGGCTCAAATGGTGCCAAAGGTTTGATAATAGCTATTATTTTTTTCTGAAGGACTCTTCTTCTTTTGAAAAGAAACCCCCACATACTACTAATGATTAATTTTCAGAATGCTTACTGTATGTCTGGAACTCTGTTACTAAAGTATTTTCAAGCAAAGGGCTTATGCTACTGAGTTACAGGTTAGCTTTCATGTGCATCGATGCATTGTTATGAATGGATGCCCTATGTGTAATAAGTGTGTATGCATGTACAGATTGTGTGTGATTGTAGATTTATGAATAAACTAAGCTGTGCATGTGTGCCTCTGTCCATGATAAAATGTAGCCCATGGATGCACAGTACCTGTTTTTGTGCTGTCCAATACACAGGGAGTAGAAAAAAAGAAAAAAAAAATTTCATTCACTACCAAACATACCTGTAGCAATGGTAGGTGAAGAGTCACCGGGAACATCTATTGCAAACCACTCCAAAAGGAATCCCCTCCCTGACACTGAAGAGTCAGAAGAAAACTGAAATGTCAAAGAATTTCTGCTGGAGCTAAAAGATTCTGTCTGGGTACCACAGTAAGTTCCGATTAGGCGGGAATGAATGTCAATACCATCATAAATCTACATGTAAAAAAACAGACAACAGAGCATTACAATTAAGCAATTACTTCTATCTTTTCGTAAAAGCAAAAATGTTAACAATGCTTTATGCTGTTATAATTTTGCCATAATGAAAAAAAACCCAAAATATTTCAGTTTAAAACAGAAAGTACCATTAAATGTAAAATATTATTGTAAATAATTTAAGGTTTTAAAAATACTTATTGCTTCATTGCAGAATTATTAACATGCTCTGTGGGATGTTGCTTATTAGGTGATTTACAGTAAAATTTGTGGGAAGAAAAGAAGAAATTAGGATGGCTATGCAGCATCGATACTTAATAAACGTGCTTTGAGGCCTTAAAGGGAGGACTGGGAAGAAAGAAGGAAAAACTAGGAAGAGGCAAGGTTTAATGAGAGAAAGCAGACATGTATCCTAAAAGTTTCTATTTCCGAAGAATGAAAGAACAAGAAACCACAGCAGGGCTCAGTACATTCAAAGCACGTAGTATTGCTTTCATTTGGTGTTAAATATTAAATTATCTATTTAGAGGTACATTTTGTGAGAGTTTCCAAATAATTGGCAATAATCTCATTGCAACAGTTACTATAAGGTTCTGTACTGAGCTTCATTTTTTCAAGTTATACAAGAATTATTTCAGGTACGTGGTCTTATTCAAGGTACAGAGTATTGAAGATGAGTAAGATGGGATTCCGGCCTTCAGAAATTTGATACTATTGCTGGAATTGATACAATAGCCAATGTTTGGATGGTAATGGCCATAAGTTTTGTAATTGTATTTATTTATTTTTATACCATCCCTTGAAGTTTTAACACTCTAACATAAGGAAAATTAGGATTATGGAATTTAAAATAGACTAAATCCTTAAGACACGCGTGCATGCTTAAACAAAACCAACTGGTAAATTACAACAATGCTTTCTCAATACTGAGTAGAAAATAATAAATGTAATAGTGAAATTACCTTAATACAGGTGATGGTGGGGCAATAACTATGATATGGGGGAGCCCATCTCATATGTTTTTCAATTGCTTGAACAGGCATTCTTTTGGATTTACTTTTGCCAAAAATAATTCATCAAAATTTAGAACCATCAATTGCACATGGCAACTCACCCGTAATCTGTCATAGTAGCAGTTCTGTGTTGTTTCGATGTCCATCTCCAAGATTCTACCATGGATAACTTGAGACATGTTCACATTCACTGTCCATTTGTAATTGGAGTGATGGGGATAATTTCCGGGCCAAAAGGGAGAGGCGATTTTCCCATGAGTTCCCACAATATTATCATTGCCAAATACTAGGAGGGAAAACAAAGTAGTAAATCAGACCACTTAGAAAGGCTCCTTAATCAAACGGAACAACAAAAAAAACAAAAATAAAAGGCAAGGGCTGTTGAAAAGGATGGGCTTTTAATTGACTGTGATTTCTTTTCTGAGAACTGAAAGAAATACTGCTTCCCTTTTGGTGCCTGGACTACCTATTAACTCCTTGGAGAAGGGTGATTCTGTGAGTGGAACTTCAACAACTTCCAGACTTCAGAGGGCTTTGGGAGGGGATATGTCACCCCCACTCCCTAATTTTACTTTACCTGCTTCACTTCGTTTAACAAAACAAAGAAACTTTTTTCTTTTTAAATTCCTTAAGAGAAACTGAACATATAGAATATTCAATTATAGAAAAGTTAAAACTAAAATTACTTAACTTTTTTTGTATTGGAAGAACGCCATGCAGTATAATATCTGAGCACTTAAGTCAATCTAAAAATAATATGTCTTTAATTTGAAGAATGCAGAATTTATATGATCAAATGAAACACATTCAATAGAAATATGCCATGTCTTAACTATATTAGAAAAATGTATCATAGTGTCATGAAAAAATAATTTGATGTTAGGTAGAAACTGGAGCTTAAAGAGAATATTAGAACCATCAGAATGTTCTCCCTTGTTCTTAATGAGCCATTCACATATAGTTTAGCTTTTCCAGTATTTTATATAATAAAGTAATTCCACAAGGCCAATATGGAAGAAGAAACAGAGAGTTTAGGACTGCTCTTGCTAAATGAGTTATTGAAAATTTTCTTCCCATTACTAACTTGAAGGACATGTTTTGGAAACCATTCCTGACATGAACCAACTTACTCTTAGTAAATTCAGCCTGGAAGCCTGTGCCACTGCTTGAGCCATCAGAGACAAATCTGACCCACAGAATATGCCCAACCACGGATGAGTAGTTGTGAGGGACAGCGTTTCCACAATATCGTCCCACCAAGTGACCTGTGGCATTTCCTTCACGGACCTCCAAAAAGTCTCTACTACAGTCTGGAGAGTCCTCCAACTGGAAAGATCTAATTTGGAAGGAAAAAAAAATTACAGGGATTAAACTGATAGAATAAACTTTGAGATTGTCCTGAATCACACGATATTTTAACATGTTCACTTACTTACTTACTTAGTTTATTTATTTGTTTGTTTTTAAACAGGGTCATGTAATATGTCCCAGGCTGACACTGATCCTCCTATCTCAGCCTTGCAAAAACAGAATATCTTTCCAACTCTGAGACAGGAAAATATTTCTCAGAATTAAAAAAAAAAAACACAACCCATAAGATAAATTACTGAATTTAACTCCATCAAAATATAAAAATTATTTAATATACCAAAGGTGAAAACATCTCAGGGTCCATCAACAACTAAGTGGATAAACAAAATGTGATAGACACACACACATGACTATTACCCAGCCTTAAAAAGAATTTAATTCTGACACATGCTACAAAATGGATGAACCTTGAAAACAATTATTAGTGAAATAAACCAGACACAAAAGGACACATATTATACAATTCTGCTTATATGAGGAACTTATGATAGGCAAATTTCTAAGGACAGAAAGTACGGTAGAGGCTACCAAAGAATGAGGGGGGGGCGGTGAAATGGGGATCTATTGTTTAGTGGGGAGAGAGTTTCTATTTGCATGAGGAAGGAGTTCTGGACATGGACAAAAGTGATTGTTGCACAACATAATGGGTGTACTTAACGTCACTGAATCATACACATAATGAGGGTTAAAATGGTAAATTTTATGCTATGTGTATTTTAACACCCAAACCCAGTTGAATGATCAGAGTCCTGCTTGAGATAATTAATCTTGCAGTAGTATATCATGGTAATTACAAGAAGCAGCAGAAAAATATTTTTGCTTCTTGATATATTGACTTAAGGATTCCAAGTGGAGCTACCTCCCAGAGTAAATATGCAGGTTTAGATTTCAGAAAAGACCTTGTGGCCATACACACGAATCACTTGTTCATAAAATTGTCCCTCAGTATCAGGCGGGGACTTGGATCTAAGAACCCATATGGATACCAAAAGCTGAGGATGCTCAGATCTGTCATATGAAATGGTGTAGTGTTACATGCAAACATGTATACTTTAAGTTACTTCCGAATTACATGTAATACCTAATACAATGTAACTACAGGTGTATTGTTTAGAGACTACTGGCAAAATTAGTACACATGCATTCTTTAAAAAAATTCTTTGATACACAGATGGTTGAATCCATAGATATGGAGGGCCAAGTATGTAGCTGATAATAGCTAAAAGAATGACTAGATGGGGGAGGAGGTGTAGAAATGAAAGAAGAGGAGGAGCAATAGAAAGGCAGAGAGAAAAATAATCCACCAATCTGTAAAATTCGTAAACCTTAATCAGGTCAGTCACAATTTAACACTAAATGATCTATTAGAGAAATTCACCACACACACACACACACACACACACACAAGAAAACATATATTAAGAATCAATGACGATAGAATTCCAAGATGGCGGCTAGAGGTAGGAAGCAGAAAGCGAGCCTCCTATAGTGAAATCTTGGAGAGATGCTGGAGACACACTTTGCAGGCATAATCACCGAGAAAAGGCATAACTTTGACTCCTCCACATCTCCAGCCGGCGCAGAGAATCTCCACTTCACGTTAAACGGAGAACCGAGGAGGCCCCCGGGCCGCCAGTGGCCGGCGCCCATACGGCTTGGGAAGACGCGGACCAGGTGAGCTTCGCGGTACCGCGGTTCCCCACAGACAAGCCTGGGCCAGAGCAGCATAGCCCCCTGGACAGACTGACCTCCACCCGGGAAAAAAAGAGAAACTGAGTACTAAGCAATAAGAACAGTTAAGACACGCTGGAAAGAGGGTGGGGCGCCCTGAGCGCTGAAGATTGGGGGAAGGGAATCCTTCCCGGGACTGTAAATAAACGAGCCGGGCGGGCCGGAGAGGCTCTGGCGGGAGCGGGGCGCGCCAGCAACCAGGAGCGGGGACGCTTGTGAGAGGAGGGAAGACCCACTTCCCACGTGAACTGTAAATAAACACGCAGGCCTGACAACGCGGGGCAGTGTCGCCTTTCCCAGTGCTTGGAAAGGGAAAAGCCTGTAGCAGAGGCCCCTCCCCGCACAGGAGAACTCTGAGCAAACAAAGCCTGTGGGACCAGGTGAGTGCTAAGCTCACCCCAGAGATCTGCATAAATAACGCCGCCAGCTACAGGCTGAGAGCAGCAGGCAGGCAAGCCACAGTTGCAGATACCACTCTCAGAACTGCCTCCAGACGCTTTTTTTTTTTTTTCTCCCTACCTTTGATGAGAGAACAACCGAATTACACCTGCAAGCCGAAAAACTTACTGAAACTGTATTGCATTTGAACTGGGGACACTTGGTGGGGCTTTTTTTTTTTTCTTCTGTGTGTGTGTGAGTGTAGTTTTGTTCTACTTTATGCATCCCCTTTGATGAGACAACTACAGAACAACATCTGAGGCACCAACTCCAGGACTGGAGATTGAGACGGACATCCAAATTATTAAGACTGAAATTGCATTGCATATAAACTTGGAAGTTTTTTGGTTTTTTGTTTTTTTTTTTTTTTTAATTTTCTATTTTCCATTTTATTTTAATTCATTTTTATAAATAGATATTACTTTCATATACTTATTTTTTATTTTTTTTATCTTTGATTTTCAATCCTCTCTCTGTCACTCTATTGTCTGTTCAGCTTACTGTCGATTAGTACACTAACACTCCCTGTTTATACCTTTGAAACTCTCTTGTCTGATACCTTGTTCTGCTTTCTCCCTCTTGTCTGTATATTTGTTTTCCCCTTTTCTTTAACTTCTTGCTTTCCATCTCAGCTCACTCTTCCATTCTCAATATTACCATTGTTATTATTACAAGCTAGAAAATACTTAATTACACACAGTACAGGGACAGTAACAACACCAAGGACAATGACAGGAAGACAGAAAAAACAAGGAAACCAGTTTCCCCACAGCAAAAAATTAGTACAGGAACCAGAGGGGAATGAAGAGAACAGAAACTCAGAGCCAGACTCCAACAAAATGAAGATAAACTATGCCAAAGGACCCAATGAAGCCTACAAGAATAATTTAAAAGAAGACATACTACAAGTACTCAATGAGAATTTTATAGAGATGATACTGGATAGGGTCAACCAAAATGTACAGGAGACACTCAAGAAATTCCAAGACAATAAAAATAGAGAATTTGAAAAAGCAAAAGAAGAAATAAAGGAAACCATAGAAGCACTGTATAAACACCAAAGTGAAAGAGAGAACACAATGAATAAATGGATAAATGAACTCAGGACAAAAATAGACAACAATAAAGAAGAAAACAGCCAGGATATGGAAAACCTCAGAAAAAAGAACGAAACAGAACTGCAAAACAAAACGGAAGGCCAATCCAGCAGAATAGAACAAACAGAAGACAGAATCTCAGAACTTGAAGATGAAATGGTAATTAAAGGAAAAACTGAAGAACTATAATTAAACAACTCAAGACCTGTGAAAAGAAAATGCAAGAACTCACTGACTCCATCAAAAGACCAAACTTGAGAATCATGGGCATCGAAGAAGGAGAAGAGGTGCAAGCGAAGGGAATGCGTAATATATTCAACAAAATAATAACGGAAAATTTCCCAAATCTAGAGAAAGATATTCCCATACAAATGCAAGAGGCCTCCAGGACACCAAACAGACCAGATCAAAATAGAACTACTCCACGACATATCATCATTAAAACAACAAGTTCAGAAACTAAGGAAAGAATATTGAAGGCTGCAAGAGAGAAAAAACAAGTAACATACAAAGGTAAACCCATCAAAATCACAGCAGACTTCTCAACAGAAACATTAAAAGCAAGAAGAGCGTGGGGTGAGATCTTCCGGGCACTGAATGAAAATAACTTCAACCCCAGGATACTCTACCCAGCAAAGCTATCATTCAAAATAGATGGAGCAATAAAAGTCTTCCATGATAAGCAGAAACTAAAACAATATGTGACCACAAAGCCACCATTACAAAAGATTCTGCAAGGGATCCTGCACACAGAAAGTGACACCCAACTTAACCATGAAAAGGCAGGCAGCACCAAACCACAGGATAAGAAAAAGCAAGACAGTAGAGAGTAACATCAAGTTAGGTACACACAATCAAACCTTCAAACAACTAAGATAACTAAATGGCAGGAATCACCACATACCTATCAGTACTAACACTTAATGTTAATGGACTTAATTCACCCATCAAAAGACACCGTTTGACAAAATGGATTAAAAAAGAAGATCCAACAATTTGTTGCTTACAGGAGACTCATCTCACCGACAGAAATAAGCATATGCTTAGGATGAAAGGCTGGAAGAAGATTTACCAAGCCAATGGCCCCCGAAAACAAGCAGGAGTAGCAATACTTATCTCTGACAAAGTAGACTTCAAACCTACATTGATCAAACGAGATAAAGAAGGACATTCCATACTAATAAAAGGGGAAATAGACCAAAAGGAAATAATAATCATCAATCTGTACGCACCCAATGTCAACGCACCCAATTTCATCAAACATACCCTGAAAGACCTAAAAGCATATATAAACGCCAACACAGTGGTTGTGGGAGACTTTAACACTCCATTATCATCAATAGATAGGTCATCCAAACAAAAACTCAATAAAGAAATCCAAGATCTAAAATATGCAATAGATCAAGTGGACCTAGTAGATGTCTACAGAACATTTCATCCAACCTCTACACAATATACATTCTTCTCAGCAGCCCATGGAACCTTCTCCAAAATAGATCATATCCTAGGGCACAAAGCAAGCCTCAGCAAATATAAGAAAATAGAAATAATACCGTGCATACTATCTGACCACAATGCAGTAAAAGTAGAACTCAACAACAAAAGTAAAGACAAAAAACATGCAAACAGCTGGAAACTAAATAACTCATTACTTAATGAAGAATGGATCATCGATGCAATAAAAGAGGAAATTAAAAAG